TTTTTTGTTAGTATTCTGTAGGAGTGGGGGTTGGGGTCGTGTTTGTGGTAGTAGGGAATTGGGTTGGGGATGGGATTGGTATAGGGTAAAGTGGTTGTTCCTGGGAATATAGGATTTGAATTGGGTTGTATGGGTTAGGGATGAATGAAATGTAGATTGTTGTTTGAGGGAGTGAAATTGACATGCATGGTATAGAGGCATACATACTGGCAAGATAGAGAATATAGTACATCGTGACCACCCAATAAAGTCAGTGGATTGCCTAATGGGTGAAGCACTGCACGAATCCTGGTAGTCACACCGGCCCCGTATCATCGACAACACTGATGATGTTCAATGAGGTCTGAAGCAATCAATCGCGTGGCGTGAGCAAACAATGAAATGATAGAGTAGTATACGGAGTATAGGATCACACTGCAGGTACTCCGTACACAACCGAGAACATGACCAGCAATTGAAGACAGAAGCTGGAGAAAAAGAAACGAACGAATTCCAGCTAAGTATATTCCGATCCAGGTGGGGTTCACCTCAGAATTAACGGTGACAGACAAAGGGAATATGGACAGGAAAATGTTAATTAATTGGAATCGATCCACCGACGCTCCACCGACTTCACCCTTCACCCTCCCACTGGTGGGAACCAGTCCTACTCGCTAGCTTCCACCCGGATCAATGCGATGCGCTGGCATCCTGTTCACCAGTGATCCCGTCCAAGATCCAGAACCACGCCCACTGTGTAATTCGCCGCCGATCCAGTCCAGTCTTCATCAGTGGGCCGTTGGATAGGCCTAGCCAGATTGGAGGATTTCGGTCTGCCTCTCATCCCCCGCAGTGAGAACCTCTGGAAGCACGGGAGAAAAGACTCAAGGAGGCGTGGAATCCACTAATGCAGAATGATGATGATGATACATAACAAGGGGGAAATGTCGCGCAGATAATCCTGGCCCATGGATCGAGGAGACTTTGTCCAGCCAGTCACTGATGTCTTTGAGGGGAGTTTGTCGCGACGATCGACTCGGTAAGTCATCCGATGCTAGTTGACGCTACCAGACCGCTTGACTGAGTAATCAGAATGAATCCCCTTCACTTGATTATTCACTTTCAGTTCCAGAATCCAGAAGGTAAAGAATGCGCAGTGAGGAATACGGTAGATGAACGAGACAGCCATTGGTCGAGCCGTCTGGTTTTCACGGTTGACAGGCAGCGGATGCATTGATGAGTTGGCATCGCTTCGTGCGGCGGGGAATCCATGCCACTTTGACACGAGGAGTAAGAAGGACGTTAACCTTGCAGAGTAACATGCGATTTTTCTCTCCAGCCATTCCTCGGGAAATTCACGGTCCCTTTCTTCTGTGGATGGCTGCAGATGTCTGCTTGATGTGACATGCTCGTTTGATACTATCAGGATTCGGGGGGGGGGGGGGGGGGGAGGAGGAGGGGTATCGTTATTTATTTATTTCATCGTCTTATTCTCCATTCTTACCAGTCCCTTCGGCTGGGGAAGCGGATGTCAGTATCCCGATCAGTAATCGCCAGCCGTATCAAAGAGTTTAGAATTAGCGAAGTCGAGGACAGCAGAGAATCCGCCGAGTGTCATGTCGCACCAAGTCAATCACCCCATCCCTCAACGCCACTCACCGAATCCTCACACTAAAATCATCCTGCTTCAGCGCGTGGCATGCCATCTACAGTGTAACTAGCATCATTACATGCGTCGTACTGTACAAAAGTGCTTTTATTCCCCCGGTCTTGGCTCAATCTACTCCGTCCTCACTGGGTGTCGTTGACACCATACATGCATGCTCTCGGCGGCCGCATGCGGAATCACAAAGATCGGGTGAGACGCCCTCAAGCGGTCCTTCTCGTCGAATACATTCTGGTCGGAGGCCACATCCTCCGAGGCCGGGATCGCCCTCCATTTCCAGGAAAACGCCGACGCAAACACCTCATTGGAACTCGCACTGGACGTCGTATGGTAATGACGATGCTGGGCCGTGCTCAAGCCCGTCAGCGTGTAGCAGGTGTGATACGAATCGGGGTGCCTGTAGAGTTAGCCGGCATGCATCGTGACGGTGGAGCAAACGTACTTTCCGGGCTTATCACGGAGCCCCCCATGCTTGGACTGACAACAACCAAGGATATATCGGGTCAATCCTTCACGGCTGTAGAGATTGCCCGCCGTGGCCCGCGGGTCTGCAGCGGACTGGACCCCGTCCAGCGCGGACTGGAGCAATGGCCAGCAGCTGCCCACCCAGTGGCTATAGCATCCATCGACCAGTTTATTGGTCCGTCCCGAGAACCCTCCCTCGGGGGCGTATTGGCGCGCAGAAAGCCAGGACAGGAGCAAAGGAACATCCATGCACCTACGTTATCAGCGGAAGCGGGGGAAACCAAGTGCAGCTCTTACCTGGACACCGTCACTTCTGGTTGGCCCAGAAGGCACAGGCATGCCAAAGCACAAAATGCATAGGCGCCATGTGCCTCAGCGCCGGGGCTGCCGGAGATACCACCCTCGAATGTTTGGCCTGTCTGGTTAGCTTAGTTCCATCCGTGGGATGAATACATACATCGCGAAAGATACTCCGGGAGGCCACTGGCAAAGGTTTCCAAACCGTGTTGCCGCGCTTCGGCATCCGGGGGCAAAGCCAGTGGCAAATCCAGCAACGCGATGATCACCATCGAGCAGTAGGCGCCTCTGACCCATTAGCAAAAGCAACACCAGCAGATAAGGCAAATTACCGCACGTCTTCTTCCCCGCCCACGCAGACCCGAAAGCCACCGTCGGGCTGTTTCAATTTTCCCAACCATCTCCACCTGCGCTGGTCAGCATGGCTTGCGCAATCGGAGTACACTTACATCGCATCCCGATCGATCAGGTTGAATGCCTCTTCGCCTCCGACCATCGCCAGAGAAAGTACTGCCGCATAACCCGACGCGCAGTGGGACAGTTGCCCGTGCCCTCCGCCCAGTCCTCCGGTAGGATTCTGCATGCGCGAAAACGTAGAAATGACACTGAAAATGCTTAGAAAATGCCTAGATAATTACAGGTTGAGCTTACCGTTCACGAAATCTGGTGACATCTTCTCCTAGCAAACATAATCCTGCTAGCGCCCAGTAGACCATCCAGGGCCGGCTAGCATCCATGCCCGCGAAGCCCGCGGGATACTCTTCCAGCGAGTCGTAGAGATAACCAATGTGGTCATCTTGCTTTAGCGATGGCACCCCGTATCGGTTAAAGGGACCGGCCTGGCTGGTGTGGATGCCCTTCAAAAAAGGCAGACATTTCTCGACGGTTTCATGCTGCAGCTCAGAAGTCTCCGTACACAAGGCATCCAGAAGTCGTGGCAACTCCTGATACAACGCAGGCACCCCCGGATGGGCCTGGGGTTCATACATGGTGTGTTTCTTTGCAGTAGGCGCCGATGGCTGACGGCTACTCGACCTGGCGCTTTTGCTGGAAGTTTGGTTGGAGGAGAAACGAACTTTGCGACGCGGCTTCCCAGCGGCGGCGACGACGATCGGCATGGATTGTAGGACTACTCTTTAATGGGCGAGGAACTGTCGTTGTGATTGTTCTTGGTCATGAATGGAGATGACAACTGCCATGGATGCCGCAGAAGCCATTGTTCTCCTCCGCGGTCAGTCAGGCCGCTCAGGTGGGCCCGTTTGGCATTCGCGGGTTCGAGGCCACTCGAGTTGGGCGCACCCGCCAAGTGCGCAGTCTGTTTTCTTCTCGAGATTTCTTGACACTTGATTATCTTTTGATCAATCCGTACTGGAATGCAGTGGCTGGTCGAGGGATAATTGATCCTTCAACATCTCCTGCGTCTGACTCAGTTGACGGGTGTTACTAACTAGTTAAGTCATTTGGTTCAACCGTCACGGTCTGGCCGACACGTTCCCTGCAATCCCGTGACCCTTTGTTCCTTGTTTCCCAGGCAGGCAATGGATCCTCGCTTTCGCGCCCACTCGGGCTAGCGGCATTCCGGCCATCCCAGCACTAAGCAGTTAGCAACAGCAAGTGCCTCTCTTTCACGCCATGACTCAACCCAACCCCAACTGCCAAGAGTCGAGGTTCCAGAACAGCTTCCCCTCCCTTCCATTCCTCTTTGTCTATTCACTAACGAGGAGTCCGGACTACCGAGTGATCCGACCGGACACAGTCTCCAACCTCCCAAATCTCCCGCTCCATCCAAGTTCTAGCCGATTCAAGCGACCGAATCATGGACCCAGCCAGGATTTAAAGTTATTGAGACTTTTCTACACTGCCTTGAACTAGGACTTGGGCACTGACCATCGTCTACTGCAGATCTCCTCCCGGGTTCACACTTCACACACTGCAGAGTATACCCTACACACTTCACCTCTCAAGTACTCCGTATCATACCTAATAATAATAAGATTCATGGCTGCGAGTTAAGCGCCAACGTCGTCAACCGGCGCATCCGCTGAATTGCTGGCTGGAACGACGCGCTGGGATATGGCTTGCGCCGCTGGCGTGGCGAGCTGCGAGTCAGACGTCCGGCTGCTGATAGGTTTCATACCCGGCAAATCCATTCGTCGCGTCCATCCGAGTGGAGCGGCCGGGCTTGACTTCATATGCAGAACGTTTCCTTACGCCTGCTCGTTGCCTGCTTTCGGAGGGTCTTCGTTCCCTACCGAAGCATCACGGCCAAGACCGTTTTGCCTTTTGGCACGGTCCCGTGAGGTCGTAACCACCGCAACTGGCGCTGACATTGCCCTGCGTTGCACTTTGCAGGTTTGGTTGAGAACCAATTTTGGATCTATCAGCTCTCTCCACTTGAGCAGTGGCAGTGGCAGGCTGGCAGCACAGCGGTTATAGGAAACTGGAAATGCTTGCTAAAATTATCTAACCGGGTGGGGTCACAGTGGGAACCTCGAAGAGACCCTGTACCGACGGAGGAAGAGACATCCGCAGATGTACATGCCAACCCGCTGCATATGCCCATGATTGATGTTACCAGAAAGGCAGGACGGCTGTCACGTACTTTCCCTGTGGATGATGAAATCTGGACCAGGTACTCTGTAGAAGGCTGCCTTCTGCTCGGATGGATGGCACCGTAGTGCCCGAGCAGCATGTTCACGAACGGAGCTACTGCATGGTCAGCCACCTTGTTGGCACAAAGCAACATGTGTGCGCCAGTGATTGCCCACTGATGGCGCCGACGGGCGTTATTGGGCGAGTCGATAAGCACCTCCTGTGAACTAGCCGGTTCCCCCGGTCGATGGCGATGGACGAATTGCTGTGGATGGACGTACATCAACAATAGTAGTCCTCCCGGGCACCCTGGGAGCTCGTCAAACCCGCGGGTTGCTGACTTGCTGAGTTGCTGTCACTGGCGAGGATTGCCGGGTTGGATGCGAGCGGGGCTTGCCGCAACGGCCATCGGGACTCGCGTATTGCCACGTCCACTGGATCGGAAACATTTGCCAATAATCGTGGCGCCTTAGTCAATAATGGTACTAGGATGCGACTCAACCGATCTTGACGGTTCCCACTGATCTCCTTTCCCGAATGTGATCCCGTGTCTCGCACGGAATATTCCGTCCGGTACCGCGGTAGCCTCACTTCCCACCCCCGACGTGAAGTGTTGTCTATGAATACTCGTTGGCTGCCAACAAACCATGCTTGATGACTTTTCCGGGGGCTGCCCTGGACGCTCGAAAGAGCAAGTATTACTGACGTAGGGCAGTGCGATGGGGGGACAGACGGTGTTGGTACGTGGCTCGGACGGGAGGAACCAACAGGGAGTGGGCAATGGGGTGCATGGGCGTATGGACTAGTACCAGCAGCTAGTGGCTAGTGGCTGCTGGGCGGCGGTGGTTGGCTTCCATTTGCCCAAGATCGAGGGCGATAATCATGAGACTTGTCCATACTGCGCTGGGCAGAGGGGATTCCGGATTCGGGACTAGTATGCGACTTAGTATGGAGGGTCTTGATCGGACTAGAGTGGTGACTACTGTCGTTTTTTTTTCTTGTTTTTCTGGATGGATGGTTCTTAGTATGCCGATGAAAGTACTAGAATCTGGTGACTCGACTAGCCACATTGTGACTAGGATGTACTGTGTACTGTGTACTGTAGCCTGTGTACTGTAGACTGTACTAGAGTACACAGTATGTCAGTAAAAGCCGGGGCAATCTTCGCCTTCCGGGCGTGGCATTAACCATCCCGGAAGGCAGTCACCAGAATCAACCATCACCACACCAGCCTTTTTTTCCCTTCCCCACTTCGTGATAGTAACTCCTTCCCAGGATCCCCTAGCGTATCTCCGGCCGACGCAACTCCCGCCTCACCGCTGCTTTGCTCCCCACCGCTAGCCCAGCGTGCCCGCCATGGCCTCATCCTATCGCCCGTCCTCGTCCTCTTCTTCTCGCTTTGCACCCCCGGATTCTGGGCTTTCTGCTCTCCCGAAGCCTCTGTCCTCAGGCTTCATCACCACCATTCCATCTCGTCCCATCCTCTCTTATTTGTTTTTTTGTACCACTTTGTCTGTCTCCGTCTATCGCTTGCTGCTATTCTTTTTTCCTTTCTTTTTTTTCTGTGAAATTCTCCCATCCTTTCCCCATTTCATGCAATTTCCTTTCCTTCCCATAGTCCCGTCGGCATAGTGGCAGCATCATGTCGAACGTCGATTTATCCAACGACGGCTTCATTGGCCTAGACTACGACTCGAGGACTTACCTCCCAGCGCCGCCGTGGTCCGTGGCGGTGGACCACCAGGCCTCGCAGCGATCGGATGGAGCGCGAGACATCTCGCCCTTGCAAACCAGCGGTCACGCTTACGATCACTCGGTAGCTCAGGATCCTAACTTGATGGTGGACTGGCACTTTCAGCACTTGCAACCCCACCTCCAATACACCCATGAGGAGCCCTCCTCCGCTCCCCAGTTCACCACCGCTAGCTATGGCATGTCCCTCCACTCCTCGCCCGTGGATCTCATGTCTGGCGCCCACGCGCACATGAGCACGAGCCTGCTGGACGGCCCATATCTGCCCTTGTCCGCGCCCGTCGACATGGTCCCGTTTCCTTACCATGACCTCCAGACCGATCTCATGGCGTTTCCCCAACCCGATGGATTGCCCGATATGTCGGCCTACAGCGCACCGCACCATGTGATTGAGAGCAGCTCCCCGACCGACACGTATCTGGAGGTCCGATCCCTGACTAGCTCGAGTAGCGACAATGGCTGGAACACCATTGAACCCCGTCGCTCCCATGAGTTTTCGTTCCCGGACCAGGGGATCTTTATCAATCCCACCCAGACGCTGCACGATCGCAGTCTGTCGGAATCCTCTTATTCTACCTCCTATGGCAGCTTCGTGGAGATCACAAATCCGATCAACTCCCCCAGCTCGGACAGCAACTTCGATACCGCGTTCAACCACAGCATGACCCGTCGGATTTCCTACGACCACACGTCGCACGGGTCGCAGTCTCCCACTGCGGTCAGCCCTGTGGCCATCGTCCGGCCCATTCCCGTGCCCAAGAAGGCCTCGTCCCCGCCGAGTCGGTCCGCGGCGTCCACCTCGGCGTCGCCTCCGAGCCGGAAGCCATCCCGCAAGAGTCCGATTGCCGCCAAGACGGCCGAGACCAAGGTTCGCAAGCAGACGCAGAATGGCAAGCCGGAAACCGAGAAGCGTGTGGGTAAGCGCAAGGGACCGCTCAAGCCGGACCAGCGGAAGCAAGCCAGTGAGATCCGGAAGCTGCGGGCATGCCTGCGCTGCAAGTTCTTGAAGAAGACGGTAAGCACGGTTTCGTTGTTCGTTGACGTGGTGGATACTGACCAGCACAGTGCGACAAAGGAGAGCCCTGTGCGGGCTGCCAACCATCGCATGCGCGTTTGTGGCAGGTGCCCTGCACGCGGATTGATATCAAGGAGATTGGCTATTTCATGAAGGACTGGAAGGCAGACTACGAACGCCATATCGCTCTTGGGTTTACGGTGGGCAACATCAAGGGATTTTCGGAGCAGGAGACGACGCTATTCATCACGCATGGGTACGGGCAGGTCCTCCCGATTAATGCCCGCGAGGTGTATGTGCGCGACGAGCAATGCTTTACTGTCGACTGGGTCGAGTCGATGCACCGGGAGCCGACGCCATACGAGGTGGAAACCGCCAAGCTGTCCGCTGGAATGGAGGGAATCTCGCATGCGATGCTATCGGATTATCTGGACCGCCATATTGATGGTAACGGCACGTTTGAGAAGTTTGTCGACGACTACTTTGAGGGCACGCCGTTCCTGACGCAGATGCTGAAGACGGCCTTCCGGTATTACTTCCGCACAAAGCTGCCGGTGATCCGGAAGGTACTGAAGCTGGTGCTGGCCTACAACCTGACGCTGCACGTCACGATGGTGGAGGGTCTGGGTGAGGAGGAGCAGTTCCTTGGCAAGATCAACGACCAGTCGTCCAAGTTCAAGGGCAAGACGATAGCGCCGGTGATGATCAACTTCCAGGTGAAGTGTGCAATGGCGAACATGTGGCGCGAGCTGCAAAAGGATGTCCTGGAAGAGCTGTCCGCTCTGTATTCCAGTGTGTACAGCGGTGACAAGCTCAAGAACTGGCCGACCATTTTCATTCTGGCGTCGATTCTGTTGGCCGTGTGGGAGGAGATGCAGTTTGACTGCCATTACCGCGTTCCGGTGAGTCTGCTTCATCTTCGGCATGTGGCATTTAGCTAATTGTGTAGGATGCTGCTGCTGTGGACAAGTTCTGCAACGACATGGAGACGACGCCGGTGGGCGTGATCGTCGGGCTGTTCCAGGCGATCTCGCAGAAACTGCCGGCATTCACGGACTGGGAAACCCAAAAACACCACCACCTGCTGCACTCGAATCCGGACGTGTGCAACACGATGACCGAGGTGCGGCAGCATGTGACGCAATTCGGTATGTTCTCTGTGCCAGCATAGCTGCATCGTACTGACCCAAACAGAGAGCTACCTGCGGGGCCGCTCCGGTTCCAAGTTCAACCGCGATGACTTTGATTGTTTATCGAACAAATTCGTATCCCGGCTGGTGATTCGCGCCAACTAGTTACGTACGGCAGTGCCGATTATGATGATGACTTCGCTTTATGTCATTACGAAGTCTTAGCCTGTTTATTTTGTGGTATACCTTTCTCGCCCTTTTACATAGCGATGATGAGGATACGATGTCATGATATGTACGGTCACGAATGATGCAGTTGTGTCTGTGTGTCCATGATTAGGATGATTGCGATTTCTAGCGTTGTTAATAGGATCTCGGATATGTAGCCGCCTAGCATTACTCCGTATTCCGTAGTAGAATCCTAGAATGGAATGGAGCACAATCCGGGGTGATTACCTAATGACCCAACCAATCAGTTGATCCCAACCTTTTCACCTCGGTTCAACCATCAGCATACAGTGTCCTACCAACAGACACCTCAATTGATCACCACAACCTCACCTCACCACCAACCAACAACTACCACAACGCCTTCACCACCACCACCACCACACCAACCCACTCCAAGATTAAGACCAAACCAAGACCGAAAGAACAACAACCGACAAAATGCCCCCCAAATCCAAATCCAAACCCCAACCCCAATCCTCCGGGCTCAATCTCCAAAAAATCTACCTAACCCTCTACAACACGATCTCCCTCCTCCTCTGGACCACCTGCACCATCCAAACCCTCCTCCACCTCCTCCCTCCCACCCCTACACCCTTACCCCAAATCTTCACAAACGTCTACCCCCTCCTGCAAATCACCCAATCCCTCGCCCTGCTCGAAATCCTCCACAGTATGATCGGTCTCGTGCGCGCGCCGGTCATGACGACTGTTATGCAGGTTGCGAGTCGGATTTTGTTGGTTTGGGGGATTATGTTTCCGTTTGGGGGGGTTGTTGTGGGTGAGACTGGCATTGGGGGGGATGGGGTGAAGACTGGTGATTGGGGGTTTCTGGGGTGTATGGCTGCGTGGGGCGTTACGGAGATTATTCGGTATGGGTTCTTTGCGTTGCAGGTTTCGGGGGTCGGGGTGCCGGGGGTTTGGGGGTGGTTGAGGTGAGTTTTATTTATTTCTCTTTTGTTTTTGGTTTGGAGGGGGTGGTTTTGGGGGGAGAGGATAAGGCTAATGGGTCATGGCAGGTATAACACGTTCTATGTGCTGTATCCTCTTGGGATCAGCAGTGAGTGTATTATGGTGTTCAAGGCGTTGGGACCAGCGGGGGATGTGAGTCCGTTGTATAAGTGGTTTTTGGTGGCCGTGTTGGGTATTTATGTTCCTGGTGAGTTTATTCCTTATAACTTTGGGGGTGGAGCTAATGGAGTAGGATCGTATATTCTGTATACGCATATGATTGCGCAGAGACGCAAGGCGTTGAAGAAGAAGCTTTAAGCGTGTATTGATGTACATGCAGCGGTATATGTCATAGATGGTATGGTAGATGGTATGGTAGATGGTATGGTAGATGGTATGGTGTACATTATAATTCCTTCATAATATCTCGCACAGCTTTGGCTGCAAACCGCTTCCGCTCCGTCTCGGGCAATTCGGCACTCATATCTGGTCAGGTTAGCCAGTTCATAATATCACGGGGGAAGAACTACCCTTGATTGCTCGCATCCGGAGCAGTAATGCCTCGACGGCATCCACCCGCAGCTCGTCATCCTCATCCTCATCCCCATCAAAGTCATCACCTCCCCGCTCAATGGCCATTCGCAACCCGACCATCTCGCGCTGTAGCTCATCAACCTCCACATCGAACCCATTCACGGTATCATCATCATCCAACCCCAACAACTCCCGCTCCAACTCATCCCCAAATCCATCATCCAACAGCTCGGGCTCCGTTGTAGCCCAATCATGCGTCTCCAACACCTCTTTAATCCGGCGCATGCCCTGTAATTCTACAATCGTCAGCAAACCTCCATTAACAAGAGAAGGGACAACATACCCCCATACCGATTCCTCCCCTCCCCGTCCCCCTTCGCACTCTTATCCCACTCAACAACCTCCATCCCCATCAACCCCATCTCACAAACCTGATCCTCCCACCACCCCACCGAAAACGGCTCATCCAATTCCAGGCCTTCCATACCCTCCTCCTCCTCCTCCTTTGGACTCCCCCCAGCAGCTGCCCCTGATGCCGCTGATTCCTCCCCCACCAAAACAACCAACCCCGGCACCTCCCCCATCCCACCCCTCTCCTCCTCAATCAGTGCCCGAACCTCGCCCACAGCCTTAACGAAGTCCTTGAGACTACGTACATCGGGCCGATCCTCCACGTCTTCTTCCACATCCTGATCTGTGCCCGGATGACGCGGAGGAGGAGGAGTGTAGACCGGATTCCGTAAACAAATCATCACAGCCCCGATCGCATCCCGAACGACTTGTGCTTCTGGCGAGGAGAATTCAGTTTTCCATTGTGTGGGAGATAGCGTTGTATTTCCCCCGGTTTCGGTAGTGATGCTGGGTTCTTGGGCGGAAAGAGGGATCTCGTCAACCCAGATTGGGATATCGGCTGTGTAGTATTTGTTGCGGAGGTGGAGAGGGGGGTGGGTGGTGTAGCCGGCGAAGGTGGTTGTTGTTGTGGTGGTAGCGATGGATGGGACGAGGGTTTCGGAGGAGGAGAGAGGAGGGGTTGGTGTCGAGGTAGTGGTTGTTGTTGGGGGCGTGGTGACTGGAGTTCCTGTTAAGGTGTGGAGGAGGGGAGGGATGATGGATTGCGAGTGGGTGGTTGGGGTGAGGATGAGGAGGCGACGGGGGTTGGGGATTGCTTTGGAGGTTGATTCGGGAGGCATTTTCGTTGTTCAAGTTGGGTTCGTGGTGGTTGGTGTCGACGGTGAGGTTATGAAGGTGGTGAGGAGAAGATGGAAGATTATTCTGGAGAGGAGAAAGGAGTGGTGCGGGGGCGGAGAGCTCGGAGCTGAGCTGAGCTGCGCAGCGATTGTGGCGCGGCAGGTCAGCTGTTACGTTAGTAACTTTCTGCTCGTATTTTCATCAGGAAGCTTATTGCAGCGATAATCGCGATTCATATACCCCATATCTGCTATCAAGCACATCCGCCACCGCAATATATGGAACAAATACGAGCACCATCACCTCAACACCTACAATTACATCCATTCAAACCATCTGATTGATTCTGATTTCATACCGACAACCCATAGACACGGATAAGATCGAAAGTATAAAGGAAACGAAAGCAAAACGCCGTCCAAGCACATCATCCATCCATCCATTCATGGATCCCACTAACCCCGTCTCTGTCCCCTCGCCCTCTGCACCGTAGCCTTACCACGAGCAAGACCAACACCGCGACCGCGCTGACCCCGTGAGCGGAACATAGGAGCGTTTCTAGACACGTACACATATTAGCATATCATCGTATCTCCCAATGGAAGGATCCACAATGGAAGTAGAATCCCACCTAAGCATATCCGGCACAATGAAAAACTTCACATGGCTTCCCCGAATGTACACCTGATCGAGATGTGACACGCGACCGTCGCGCGCGGTGACCGTAATATCCTTCAGTTGGACGTTCATGTTATCCTCAGCTAGGAGGTGTTAGTGGTGTGAGGCGATGGGGTGGAGAGGAGGGGAGACGCACCCTCGAGGAGTTTTCCGCGGTAGACGACGCCAGAGGTGATTTCGAGGGTGACGACGTGGCCCTACACCTTATCATCAGTATACGTCTTCCGACTAGAGATGGAGTAAACAGGACGTAGAAGGAAAGGAGAACCAACCTGCGCTTCATTAAGAAGCTTGATCGGGATACCGATCGTGCTGGTGAGTTTACCCATTGCGGTGTGTGTAGGAAACTAATTCGCGACTGCGTAGAGAAGAAAGAACAAATACAACAATCGTCACGGAAGACGATCAAGATAAAAAAGATCGAGAATGGACTGGGTTCGCACAAACTGCCAGATCGAGGAAGTTGACAGGCGCGTTCCGTCGGCGGAGAGTTTTGCGGCTCTGCGGCGGTGCGGGTTGAGCCAAGCCTTCCTCTCTCTCCTCTCATCTCGCGCATCTTCACCCTCAATCAATCTGATACACTGGGGGGATTCTTTCAGATGGGTTACGATCATGCGTTAGATCTAATCATCTCAGATATATTTCTCCCCACTACACCCCATTCATCAACCTCATCCCACCGAATTCAAAGAAACAAGAGGCAAAATGCAACCCCCCAACAGCAACCTCCGCGCCTTCAATCTGGCCGTCACAACGCTTCTCAAATCCCCCTCGCAATTCCTCCCCCACCTTACCATCCCTACCATCGCCCATTTGCCCGAGAACCTAGGTCCAGCGGTTCATCCGAATTCTAGCTCCGAAAAGACCCCCACGATTCGCGCCCTCGTGCTCGATAAAGACAATACGCTTTGTCATCCGAAAACAACCGCGTTCCCGTCGGAGATCCTAAAGAAACTCACGGCGCTGCGCACATCTGCAACTTCGCCGTTCAACAAGGAGAACTCGATATTGATTGTTTCGAATCGGGCGGGAAGTCACCCGCGGTATGACGAGGAGGTGCGCGAGTTGGAGGAAACATTAGGGGACCTGCGCATTCCCGTGTTCAGGTTGCCTGAAGGAAGCGAGAAGAAGCCATTCTGTGGGAATGAGGTGCTGGAGTGGTTCCGTGAGAGAGGGGTGGTGAGTAGGCCGGATGAGATTGCTGTGGTCGGGGATCGATTAGGGACCGATGTGTTGATGGCGGTGGCGATGGGGTCATGGAGTGTTTGGTGTCGCGATGGTGTGACAGAAGAGGGCCGCGACATGAATCTCCTCGAGAAGATGGAGGTCTGGGTTGAGAAATATCTCCGTGAGTCGCGGGGCCTAAAGGCGCCACCACCCAAGGGCTGGGAGGGTCAGTAATAGATGTTGTCACTTGATACCCTGTATTATACGTTAATAGACTTGATTTTATACACCTGCTACAGGCTACAGCGATCATGATGAGGTGGACTGAGATGTATCCATATCAGAGTGCCTTGGGGAGATTGTCTCAGCTCCGCCGCAAGGCACCAACTATATAGAACATGATATCACTGACAGTATCGGACACTCAGAAATAACCATCACAAAGGGAAAAGCAAACAATCCTAACCCGCCAACCCAGAAGAATCCAAGAAATAAACCGAATGTCGCCATCTGAGTCTGACTTCTGGCATAACACGTTAACCCTGACCAGGTATAAACAAAATGAAAAGAAAAATGGTCAGGGGAAGAAGAAAAGAAATGCCCAGCGAGCCTGCTGGGGAATGTGAAATGCGATGAACGCTCAGGACCAGCCCCGGAGAAGGTTATTAATACAGAAGACGCTGAACATAATCAAGAAAGGATACATACTCCCCGTCATCAGTTGGCCAGGATGTCTGATATCTCGGCTCGATTGAAGTATTCACAGCCATGGAGCCGGAACATTGTCAGCACGGGCTAATCCGCATCAATGTGCGTTTGCCAAAATTGGAGCTAATGGTGGGTAAATGACGATCACGAGCGTCACCAGCCAAATGATATGCTCAAGAACCAGGTGCCAAAGTGTTAGGATCGACATTCTCCAGGGTCAGACTCTGAAAGTCGCCATGAACACCAGGAGATGTATGGCCAGACATGGTCTGCATGGGGAGATCGAACGTGTTGCTCTCAAGACCCATGGAGGTGGGAACGGCAAAGCTCAGATTGTGCTTAGGATAGATCCCATTCATGGACATGCTGTCATCCGTGTACGTGGGCTGATGCTCGTTGCCCAGGGTGTACATATCTTGAGGCGTGTGCGAGATATTCGACAACGGGGGGGAATGGTTTGCAATCATAGGATCGGCATGACTGACGTTAGAATAAGAAGCGGCTTGAGGCGCCACAGTCGAATCAACCGCGGGCGAGACGAAGGGAAGATTGAATGGGGTACCCATGTTCGTAGCAACAGGGGTCGAGTCACCACCAGCGCCGGTGCTGAACAGGCCGGGACTGGCAAAGTCAGACGGAGAGGCAGTCGTAGTGGCCGACATGGGGTGGGTGCGCGGGTCGAACCCATAGGCAGCAGAAGTATCGATCCGGAGGTTCACAGCCAAGGGGTGCGTCGACTGAGGTACAGGAGCAAAGATGCCCGTGTCCGCATGGTTGAAGGCAGCGGGAGTCTGGGGCATATTATAGTGGGCAAGAGGGGCCTGCATGGCAGAGAAGTCCACAGCTACCGGAACTGAACGACTCCTCTGACGCTTGTGTCCACGCATCGCCGGGATGTTCAGATGAGGGTGGCTCTCTGGAAACACACTCAGGAAGGTGGGAGCGAATTGGTTTGGTTGCGATGCAGGGCGCTGGATGAACGGAGGCGACATGGGCGGGTTCATGGCAAAGTTGTTGTAGGCAAGACGGTTCTGGAAGGACTCCAGCGACACAAGCTTCGCCAGTTGGACGCTGAGAACCTTGGGATGTCCCCCGAGATGGTGGACCATAATTTGGCTAGCTTGCTGATCCTCCGTAAAGTCGCCACATTGGTAGAACCCGCCAGAGTTGGACGAGTCCATGTAAAACAACGGGGGTCGGTTCAATTCGACGACAAGGCCACCGGCTCGCGGAGGAGCTCCGTTGGGCTGAGGATTCTGGTCACCCGACTCCAAAGTGATATTCTTGATGTAGGAAAACGGGTATTCGATCTTATATCCAGCCGAGTCGTTGTTGATGTAATAGGTCATGCAGGCCTTCTCGGGGGAGTAGAACACCACGAGATCCATGGCATTTTGCCCGATGCGTCGCCAGCTACCGATCGTCAAGGATCGACAAGTGAAGTGGTGGATGACTAAACAGTCAGTCATGGATCATCAAAAAGGGGCATCAAACATACCAACTTTGCCAGAAGGAGCCGACTCATGGGGATAAGCACCATTGGTTCCATATCCGCCAATGCGGCCAAAGGGATCTCTTGCACCGGGTTTGCTGGGGTCGAACTGCATGGCCAAGTATTGGCGCATTGACTCAGGGATGGAGTCGCAACCTTCACCCGTTTCAATGCTCTTCTTGGCGAGCATCTTGATCTTTGCGCGTCTGCCATACGATTAGCCGAGTCGAGAAATTGTAGAGAAACACCAACCTGTTTTGGAACCAGATCTGAACGGACCGTTCAGTCATGTTGATCTCTTGGGCGATTCTTTCGCGTGTGGATGCGGTAGGAGTCGGGTTCTTGTTGAATTCCAATTCAAGAGTAACCAGTTGATCTTGAGTCGCGCGCTGCCGCTTGTTGTTCTTTTGCTGTTGGGTCAAAGTGCTCTTCCGTTGAGGTCGACGAGCTGAAGCAGAGGGGGCTGCAGTGTTGGACATGGCCGGAGACGGACTCGAAGTAGTGGACGAAGAAGATGTCATAGTAGAAGCGTTGGTAGAAGAGTTCGACGTCGTCGAGGGGTCAGGAGTGTCTGTCGAAGACATGTTTGCAGGGATTGGTTGGAATGGTACGGGGAGAAAAGAGATACGACCAAATTCGTGGGAGGGAGCAGATTGGTGACGATCCGGTCGACAGTCAAAGAGGATGGGGTCCGGTGCTCTGAAGCAGCGTCAAGCGCCAGAGAATACGGATGATATCAAAAGAAAGGAAGCGCTTGAGCTGGAGTCAGGTCGATGCCGAGTCCAGACAACAAAGCGCAGGCGGATAAGCGCGTCGCAGAAGCGTCGGATGAGAGGGTGTAGTCAAAATGGTGGAAGAATATAAACAGCTGACCTAGGCAGCTTGAGGTAAACAGGATCCTTTTATCTTCGCAACCGTGATAAGGCTGTAGGTGGTGGAAATCCGAATTGACACAGGATCGGGGATAGTGCAATGACGAAGGGCCGAGATGGGTCACCGTCCTGAGGTAAGCGAAGACAGAGAGATTGGATGGATCGTGAAAGAGTGAAACGATCGACTGAAGCGAGCGAATGTAGTTGAAAGAAAGAATGGAAGGGGGGAGAAAAACAAAAAAGAGTGAATGGGAAAGGAAAGAAAGATGCGAAGATGGTCGGTGGGAGGGGAGGAAAGGGAAGAAGAAGGAGGAGAAAGAAGACAAACGGGTGGAGGAGGCAGAGGAGAAAGCGAGCGAGCGCGACGGTCAGGAGATGGGATGGGGGAGCCCCAATGCGGTTAGCGGGTCAGTAGTTGGCGCTGGACTGTTTTGGCACCGGCTGTTCCTGACTTTCTCCGTGGGGCTGGCCTTTTTTTTCCCTATTCCTTTTCCTGTTCCTGTTCCTGTTCCTGTCCCTTTTCCTGTTTGGATTTCAATGGTCTCCTGGTATTTTTGGAGACAGCCAGGAATCAGCATCCCTATCATCAGCTCCCCATATTTATCTCTCTCAGCCAGGTTGATCCAACTCCGGCTCGGTACTGATGGTCCATCCAGGGTAAAACACCAGGGTTGTTACAGAATTTCACATGGCTTGAAGCAGGACCAGAATGTTACAAGCCCACCGCCCTCCACCCACCGCCTTGTTTTAGCCCCTGCATCCAGTCGCGGCACCTGCTCCTGCTGCCCGATGCTGTTTGGGATCCCGCCATCCAATCACCGGCCCCCCCAAGCCTTTTCTGCATGGATGTCGGTCTTGACGACTGCAACCTCAGGATGCTTTAGGTTATCATCGTACTTTTCCAGTCACTCGCGTCGCTCAAGCAGGCCATACCTAGCACGGGAAATTTGACCCGTGTGCTTAAGCAAGGCAAACAACCCAGCAGCCATAAATAGGTCCATGCCTCCATCTATTTGATGTACATGCTACATACTCTGAAGTCCATCCAGAGACTGGTATACAGAGTACTTCCTCAGTATATCGTGCAGTGAATCCACCGAGGGATCGGACACAGGGGCAACCACCACAACGTGACCTGGACCGTTCCAAAGCCCGGGCGGGATCGCATAAGCGCCCGACTTGACAAGCTACAAAAAGGGTTTCAGATGGTGGAGTGACCTCATAATTTCGCCGAATCAGGTCCGGGGAGCGAGGCGAAGAAGAAACCAAGAAAAAAAAAAAGAGGCGAAGCCGAGATTTCCTTAGAAGCGACCTGCCACTCGACCCGGTTCCTGAATCGAACCGTCGGGCGCGATCGTGGTTCCATCCCCAGCCGTACAACCGGACGGGAACAGGGCCATTCTTGACTAAGTGAATACTTTACCTATAACAGCTCCATGGCAGAACCATGGCAGAACCGTGGACGGTGAACCATAGAATTCAGGAGGCCTTGGGAGTCGGTAGTTGGTACAGTTGGAAAGTCAATTCGGGCCTGCCCGGTCTCCGTCCAGGAACCATACCGCTTCCAGCAGGTGACTGACCTCATTTGCCTGGGGGGCAGTCGCCTGAGTGGCCTCCCACTCTTGCGTCTTCCCAGGTACAACTGCACATCATGGAGTTTCTATTAATATGCCTCCGTATTTCCCCTCGCTTTTTCCCCATTTCCGTTGTCGGCCGCAACTCACTGTCCTACTGAACTGTATCTACTCCGCCCGTGCCGGCCACTCCCAGTGTGCCTGATGATTCGATCCAGGTACCCGCCCCTCTGTCGCCATCACACCGGTCCTGATTGGGTCGTGGCGCATGACAGCGCTAGGGGGTGGAGAAGCGTTAAGTCGTCGTTCGGCACTCGTGCTGACTTGTACAAACTACAGAGGGGTTAGTCGGGACTAGTCTTCCATCTGGATTCCATCGCCGAATCTATTTAATTTAGAAATTAATTAATCAATCACCGCTTCCTGCGAACCCACGAGCGGGTTACTATTAATATGGTAGGGCAGGGAATCTGGGGATATCGAAAGTGTGCAGAGAGAGCCTGCAACATCAGAGCATTATTCCCACCCACCTCCGATCGTCTGGATGCAGGCACGCAGCGTACTGCTTCGTACCTGCACCTGCCGGCCTCCTAATAAAGGTGCCTGGGTACCTGACTTCCAGTCGTGTCACCCAGGCTAGACTGGATGGGGGAAAGACTTGGACAGACCCGCAGATGATCCGTGCACACCATGCTTGCCATTGGCCCAGCCCGACTCAGCCACAGCAGTGATAGGCCGAATGACGATGGGGAGTGCCGTTTTCCGACCGTCCAAGGGCAAGCATCCGCGCCTTGCCCGACAGGGTAAGCAACCGACGGAGTCGAGACTTGCCGCCGACGCTAAACAAGCCTCCAGGGCCAAGCACCAGCACCGCTGATAGGGGTTGACTATCTGCATGGCTGGCCTGCTGCAGCATCAGATCCGTGGACGATACATCGACTTGAGCACTGGATTATGATCCGTATACGGGGTACGGAGTATACGGAGTACTACGGAGTAGCCTACTGATGTCTATCATACGACCAAGTCTTGCCGGTCATCCAGACCAGCACCCTCGAGACGGAGTCCTCCGTAAACACAGTCAGACTACACGATCTCGACTAGATCTGCCCCATTTGGTTTCCAATAGTGCCTGCAGCCGTGATTAGCAGCTACCGGTCCTCGGGTCCGGCGCCGTGAATGATACCCTCCCGAGTTCCCCTAGCGGTGATTCCGGATCTGTTGCCTAGAGCACGGAGCAGGTGTGCGTGTGTTTTCTCGGATTTTCCACTTCCTCATGTCTCGGGGACTCTTCCTGTCTTCCCTACTAAGCAACAAGACCCCGAGCCCCGCCAGCACTCACTTGTCTGCAGTTCGCACAGCTCCAGCTATTCCTCTTACCAACCCTGGTAATCCGGCTTATCCAAATCCGCCGCAAATTCCTCTCAGGAGGCTCAAGTGACCCCGTACGCACGGGCATTTTCACACGTCGCCTGTTCTCCCGGTCCGGCCCCTCCCTTCCTCCCTCCCTCCCTTTTCAACGGTCAGCCCGCATTCCTCGCTATACAATGGGGTCATCTACATACTACTTTCTTATAATGTTATGACATGTTCACGTCAGCAATCAGACCTCTGACATTATCTACTTCAATCCGGAGAGATCCCTACCACGCGTTTAATTTTGATTGGCGCGGACATTTCGTTGACTGGTATGTCCGCCCGGCAATTCAAGGTGATGAGTCAGGTAGGTATAGAGTAGATCAGTGAGATTCTGTGACAAGGTGGAATGCTGGAGAGGGCGGAGCTTAGATCCGCTCATATTGGTTATCTATAGCCCATTCTTGACGTGCATGTGGTATGACGTACATTTGCGGAAAAGGGTCTATACAGAGTCCTGGCATATCTCAATATTCGGTCTAGTTGCCTGGCATGGAAGGCATCTAATTTCGTTAGTTATATTTCAGGACGAAGAGAGATGCCTCCTAGGAATGTCAGCCTCGGTACTTGCGCAAATTACATACTTCCATCGGATCATCTTCACAAAGTCTTGTTCTTCAAAGACCTTTCTTGATCGGTCCAGTGAGGAATGGTCTAGTTACCCCCAATGGAATACCAGATCAGTGGCACTACTACCCTATCAAGCTAAGTTGTCGATATATGCTACGCTGTACTATTCATCTTAATATAAATACTATATTCCCGCTCCTAGGATCCGTCCCCGATTCTAGAGCCATGTAAATTGTTAATACGTAGGGAGAAAAAAAAAGGGTGTGACTCGTGTTACTGGTGGCGTCAGAATGTTGTACAAGACGGGGCTGTGAAGATGAAAGGGGAGGTCGGTTGGCCATCTGATTGACCGGGGGGGAATTTGCACATCAAGAGGCTAAAGAACAGGGGGTTTGATACGCGGGGGGTTAGGATGGGTTTAGAGAGTTGGTTATTGGTGCGGTTTGATTCGTATGAGGAGGGGAATCTTGTACGACCAAGCTGTTTGAGAATTGTATGTGGTCATGGAGAGATGACATGAAGATCAAGAGGACGGATGGATACAAAGGCGTGATCGGGTTAATCGCAGGTATTGTAGACTCGTGCGTTCAATACCTGGTATACAACACTTACATCTCATCATTGATACAGGTTCCCGCATCACGGATCCTCAAAGCATCGTAACTCGTCATATTATCAAACCGAAATCCCTGTACTAGTAGTAGTTCCTGATATCCTACAAGACCTATCCTGTAACCCGTACAAGATCTCATATAAATAAAAGTCCCCCAGGGACTAGTAACTACACTACTGTCTGCCCCTCCGGCTCAAAAATCGTACTCCAGTAATCCGCCGTTTTGGAACAAATGTCCGTCCGTCCCTTCCAACTTAGACTCTTACCCTCCAGGGCGCACGCTGTCCAGAGGATTTCCTTCCAGTATGCCTTTTCCGTTGTCTTCCCGCCGAATGCATCCACGACATCTTCCGGTGCGGTCCACGCTCGCGTATACTTCCCCCGCTCGTCCACCACGGGTCCACCATCGGTGAAGACCGTGGCCGGGTTGAATTTGGGGAAGTTGACGTGGACGAAGAATGGCTGTGGCGGGGGCACCGAAGAGCCCTTGATGCGCCATTCGCCCTTCTTTGTCAGGATGTAGTCTTCGATCGGGTTATACTGGACCATGGTGGACCCGGCAAATCCATCAGGGGTGCCTCGACCGACTGCCCGGATGGGCTCGCTGACTTGGTAGAAGGGCTCGTTGAGGGCGATGGCGGCAGCGAGGAAGGTCTCCTTGTCTCCCTCGCCGGCCGCGCCTTGCGATAGGAGAGGGTAGTAGTGACTGGGGCCGTAATAGTTGTAGTAAGCTGCCAGGAGAAGGGTGCGAGCATGCGTGCGCTTGGAGAGCAGTACTTCCCCGGATTCGGTGGATTGGCGGATCATAGCGGGGTTGGGTTGCTCGCCATCAGTTGTCTTGGGCTTTTGGTCCTGAGATACGATCTCGTAGTATAAGGGGGATGTCGTGGGCCGCCAGAAGTCTGGCCAGGTGACGAGACCCTTGGAGTGAAATGGGTCGGAGTTGAAGAGGACTTCTGGGTCCTGGAGCGCGAATGCATCTGCGTCGAGGAAGAGGATCTCCTCGAAGGAGGAGAACAGCATGGCAAAGACTTTGTATTGGTATTTCTCGATGGCGGACTTGCTGTCAGGGATGGCGTCGAGGATCTCGGACAGGACGACACATTGCGCATCTAAGGAGGGAAGGACGACCTGGCAGACATAGCCATCGTATTCGTCCCAATTGGCGAGAAAGACTTCCATGGGGAGGGTGGAGCCGCTCTGGCGCAGCATGCGGAGGGAGATAACGAGGACGGGGAGGTAGGAGCCGCCAGCGGTCGAGACAAGACCGCGGGTGTGTGGCTGGTAGTGAAGTCTCGGTTGGTTCAGATTGATGCTCTCGAGGAACTTGCTGTGTGCGACTCTCATGTTTGAGACGTCTTCTCGAGTGAGTCGGAGGAGATCAGGTAGCGGGTCCGCGTTCTTGGGGTCGAAGCCCACGGATTCGGCATTTCTGATCCTCACTGGGTTATTGGCGTGGGGATCTGAGGCCACCAAGAGAGGGTGGAACTCGGTCCAGAATTGCTCATGGCTGGTAGAGGTGGTGGGAGTGCGCGATCGACAGGATGCGAAGGTCCAGGTGAAGACGGCGACCAGGCCGAGGGTGATCAGAGCGGTTCGTCGCCGGGATTGTGTGCGGAACGCCGCCATGTTGGTTGGAATATATCAAGGAGAGGTCGTCGAATGCATGTCTTAGCAGAATTGATCAAGACTCGAAGAGGAATTCGCGATGTTGGATAGTTGGGCTGGCGGGGGAACAGCGCAGAGGGAATGAATGATAAAGCTGGACCGCGCAGCGCGAAGGCGAGTCCGGACAGTCCAGCAACCCGCGGCTGAGCCATGCCCATATAAGTAAAAGCAGCGACTCATCAATCCTGGCGCTAAGCATATTGGATGATTGGATGGTGAGGGGATATAAATTAGCAGAAAGGCACTAAGGCACTGGCTGCCGCTGTTCAAGCCAACCGGCGCTTAACGCAACGGACCGTCGCAAACCAGACTCCGTTTTGGCCCCAACGGTGCCAGGGGACCAGCGCGGGTTGCGTAACGTGTTAATTGACTATCATGCTGATCGCTCTTGGCCACCAATCGATGCGATATATGCCTTTCCAGGGGTCTTTTTTTTTTTTATCTGGCGCGCGTAGAGGGGGACGGGCAGTGGCCCGATGGTATCAACCCCTCTCCCACGCTCACGAGTCGAACCATGCCACGCGCTACAAGACTGAATCGAGGTCCACGTCACCCAGGCCAGGTCTGATTGGTGGATAACGACCGGCGTCTGGACGCCTGCATTAGTTGCGGACAGACCATTATCGACCGGATAATGTTAGATGTTCGGGGTGCTGGGCGGCGATGGGGGGAATGGCCATTCCCCCGGCCTTTTTACCCGTTTGCCTCCCCATGTGCACTTTCCAGCCCTATCCCAGTGTTTGACCCGATCGACAGCCCACCCTGGACGTCGCAATGTCCACCTACGGCTATGAGGACTGCGTGGCGGGGACATTCTATGGCTTCACCAAAACCGAATTCAACCCCGGAGACACACTCAACCTCCAGTGGGGGGCGATCGATGACGGGGCAACTCCACTGAACGTCACATTAGGGCGGGCGGGAGGATACATCGTGGATGAGATTATTGGTGCATCCCTCGGGGTCGACTGGAGCATAGCAAACTGGAACTGACCTCTGACATCTCTAGTTGGCGCGGAGTTTACCACAAACAGTGCTCTCTATCAACTCGTTGTCAACGACACCGCGAACTGCACCCTGGAAGAATACAGTTGGGCCATCCCCAACGACTTCAACACCACTGATCCAGAGTATCAGATCGGACTGTTCAACGCATCGGTCCTCCTGGGTGCTGATGGTAATGCTCTGTTTGGCTGGCAGGCTTGGAGTCCCGACTTTTATGTCCGAGCAGTGAGTACCACAACAACAGGTACAAGTAGCACAACCACCACGGTCGCAGCCAGTGCGACTAGCAGCAACACATCCACAACCACTTCTGCCACCACATTCCCGTCTTCCTCTGCGACTCCATCCTCGTCCGCGGCCTCTGATAATCATACATCAAACACGGAAACCATCGGTATTGGTGTGGGAGTCGGCGTCGGCGTCGCAGCGTTAGCTGGCGTACTTTTAGGCGTATTCTATCTTCTGCGCCGCCGTCAAAAGGCCCAAGTTCCATCACAAGGCTTCGTGGGTGCCCGACAACAATATATACATGAGTTACCGGCTACAGAGAAGCGACCTCCCATGTACGAGTTGGCTGGATAATAGTATTCAGTGGACATTAAGGATCGGGTGTTCGAAGGGCTGGCAAGGTTATATTCACCGAGATCCCCAATCGTACAAGTCGCTAACGACATGAAAGGCTACCGCTGTGTCAGTGGAAGAAAACCCAGACCGAGAACAGATGATACCCAATTGTTGCTTTTTTTCTTTTCGGGGGTCGTGGTTGCATCTAGGACTGTTGGGTTGGAGGTATCGAGCTCAATCTGGAGCTAATCTGGAGCGGACGTATTGTTCATAGTGTATAATTAATGTATATGAGTGGGTACATATGTCCTGTTATCAGTCACTATATGATCCGGGAAACTGTCTTGTATCTCTATAATTGGAGACGATAAGTCTGATAGTGGTATAGCACGCCATGGCTTCTAGGAGACATATAGGAGGACCAACTCTGATTGAATCGCTTGCTAAACAATGGGCTTTGATGTAGTCATCAAGGACTGGAACAATTGCCAGGGACACTTGGTGGCCAGCGGTCAGCTGATCGGGTGTAACATCAAATCAGGCATAAATGGTGATCCTTTCCAAGGTCCACCGCATCATTCTTGCTTGACTCCATCTCAAAGCCATCAGCAGCTATGGAATCATCAAAGTACTGTGCGATATGCTTCGGGGGAATTACTCGAGCACATTGGACACAAAGTCTTACTACAGGTAAGTATACTTCATGACTACATAGCTTCGACGCCCCCCCTAATGCATTAAAGTGTTGATCAGAGAAAGCCGTGTTGATATTGGTTCTATCAGATACGACCAAAACACCATTTTACAAGTCTCAAGAAGTCTTCTACGGCCAGAGGAGCAAACACAGATTAGGTTAATTCCTTCACAATCTTACACCCCTGCAGAGGCCTTTATCATGCATACATCCTGCTATCGTCTGGTGTGTGAATTTGCCGGGCATGAGGTCAGACCTCACCAGATATATCGACTTTGCCAGGCAACTCAACCTGACCAGGAGAGATGCTTCTTGAACGAAACCAATCGTTTCCCCTATAGTAAGCTGTGTGAATAGTAATCCTTGGACTTCTACTAAAGCAAACGTAGTGTGGCCGGACCCCTACACTATCCTGACACCTCGCAAATCCCTATCTTCTTCAGAAGATAGTTGGTTGTTCTTCAAGCCTGGCAAGGCACACTATGGCTCCACCTTTCTGTTCAAGCTGCCTCCCGAAATCATGCTACTTATTCTTCAGCATTTGCCACCCTCAGACTTAGTTCGGTTCTTCAGAACTAGCAGACAGGCTCTTTCCTATGCCAGTCTATTCTGTCAGCTAAATCCGTTGCACTTTTTTCGTTGCAGTACCGGCGCAACTAACTGCTCGGAAGATAAACAAATCCTGATGCTTGCACTTTCAACCTGGACTCGCTATGAGGAACTGGATCTGAGATGGCAGCTTGTGACTAAAGTGTGTGAATTGGCAAAACTACTTTCATTCCTATCTGATATAGGCTTGGCGGTTGGACCCACGCCTAACCCCCGGGCCCCTCTTCTTCATGTCCAGCATCAACACGGACTACACGAGGACCTGATAGAGATTCCAAATAACGTCAAGAATATTCAGGTATGCAGCATATTACTGGCCGGCAGACGTTACATCTGTGGTATTGGAGTTGATACGGGAGAGTCGTGCTTGTTTTACGGCAACAAAACCGAAAGCCTCCGTACGCTTGATATCAATAATCGCGAATTAGAGGCAATCGGACTTGCAGAGGATGCGCTGGGAGTTAGAAGTATGAGATGCGGCACATCACCGTGGGTGTTTGGCGATCCCGAGACTCTGGGCTGTTGGGGAGGGCTCAGCGTACCGCAAGGACGCAGGAAAATCCAGATCATTCGTGATGTAAGAACCACCCCCATTTTTAATCCTATGGCTTACACATTACAGGCGCTTAAGATTCGATATCTCAATTGGTATCATGAGACTGCTCCTCTTTTCGAAGAGACTCTTTTGATAAGGAATCAACATCCATCTCTGTCAAGCCACGAATTCATTTCCGAAGAACTGTATGTGCAACGAAACCAAGGAAAAGAAAGGGGATTGGTGACTCGATTCGGCAACTTCCCCACAGAAGCCATCCGTTTCAGCCGAGAACTGCAACATCTAACGTTACATGGTGGTGGTGGCCTCAACGGTATCTCTGGTCTATCTATCCAAACAAATTCGGAGAGTTATTGTGTTGGCTCCTGCAAGGGTGCTTCCTCATCCATGACCTTACACACCCCGGATGAAAGTCTGTCTGAAATTGATGTGAGGATATCCAATCTATATCCTCTGGCTCTCATAGTGAGTATCATTGTCACCCTATACGATGAAATCGATGGCTAACCCTTGCGAAGTTCAGAACTAGCTGGAACCGTGAACTGTTTGTTGAACCCCGTCAGCTGGGAGAGGGCGTGCAATGTGAGATCAAGGCTCTTCGACCACCGCCTGATCACTGCATCACGGGTCTTTACTTTAGATTCGAGGGTTCAGTCATCGTCTCTGTCGGGTTGATTTTCGCATTGAGCGAAAGCATGAATTAATGTTTACTGTGCATACCTTGTCTTGGTGCTTCTTGTTGTTTCCTATCATATCATTAAAATGATCGTATGACTAAAAGATCGAGATTTATTGATTCAGGAATACTTGTGCAATAGCCGTAAGTGCTGAGGTCACCCTTGCTGAGTGAAATAATCATTCACATTGTATATCCATCCACTTCCGGTTCTCCAATGTTCCTATTGCCACCCTAACGAGGGCTAGTACCTCTGCACGCTCACTAACACTCCGTCAAGTATCCTCTATCAATCTGAACCCAGCTGATTATTCTCATTTAGCGACACCTACCCACTTCACCCCGGCTATAATCCGCTCTCTAACGGCACAAACCGCATCACATGCTCTAAGTAGCGATTGCAGAAGGTAATTGCCCCCGCTTAGAAGGCAATTACCGCTCTACTTTGCATGAGGTAATCAAGAAGGAAACACTACTTAAGGCACACTTCCTTGCATGCATCTCCATCTTTTCCTCTACACCGTGCCCATCCCACAACTCCTCTGGCCAGCCAACCACCCAGCGGAATCACCCTATTATAGAGCATCATCCTGTCCAGCTCATCTGTCCCGATATATAACTCCAACAGTCTGTGAAAAGACGCCATCGCATGGGCTGAACACACCAATTCACCGACTCAACAACCCGTCTTCAGACAAGAGCTTCTGCACAACACATACTAATTACACCTATCCCCGGACAGCTCCGGTCATACCATCGAAGAGCACAAACGAGCTTGTTATCAAGTCCGCAGGAACAAGAGGGGGCCGATTCCAACTGGATATGCATGCCGTCGTCAACGCATGCGGATGTATACATGTCCTTATACATTGTCACCATCTTCGGTGACACGACACGCTGGCTTACTTATAGCTGGGATTAAGTACTATACAAGTTGTGGTGGAGGGCAAGTCTAGACTTCAGAAAGGACTAAAGACGAAGGTATCAATCGCGTAGTGTCAAATGGACCCTAACGAGCGCCTATCTTCCAGGTGTGAGACCAGGTCGCTGATTCCGAACCCCTACGAGCCTGGATCGTCCAAGAGGTTCATGATAGTCTCATAACCAGGCACCTGGGTGAGACCAGACGTACAAGCTTACCACTACTACTGGCCGAACATGAGTGAGGGTGTTCGCCGAATTTATCAAAACTGCGATGGCTGCGAAGGTAAACCTCTGGCGAGCCCTTGTGGTTTGTCTCGGGTGCCAAAGTGGGGAGAGGTTGATATTCCCGGTAAATCTGGATGCTGCTATCTGTCTCAGAAGCATAAGCCTGGTACCTGGACACTTGGAGACAGTGGAAGGTTGCCAAGGCAAGTGGTATTGGGAGTCAAAGTGCTTCTTCCTCTCTCCAGCAAGTCATTGGTTATCGAGGTCGTCGGTCAGGAATAAGCACTACAGTAGTGTTGCATCTCCAAATCATGGCCGAAGAACCATTCAATGAAATTGAGCCCTCGCATTGTTTGGGCGAAGACTACCCCGAGGCTAGCAGATGATATATTGCACAAAAGACTCGCACGGTACCACAATCAAGAGCAGCCATCGCTCAAGACATCCTGCAAAATCACCCGACAGAACAGTGCTTGCCGACCCAGAGTGGCCGATAAAGTTTCCCCAGTTGTGCTGTTCGAACGGGTCTATGTGAGGTTTTCCGGTGGCATAGAATCAAAATGACGAGGAAAGTCCAGCAGTACCAAGTGCTGCAAAGACTCAGGAAATATTCGAGACCATCCAGCCAGAGACCGGCAGGTCAGACACTCAGACACCAGAACTTTAGCAGACATGGGGGAAGCCTCCCTCGGGGATAGTGACTGCGGAATCAACTCTTTGGCTCTGGAGTGATTTATGCGTCGCCGCCTGATCCTGGAGCTACAGGAGACCGTTGTTGTCGCCATGACTTTGCCACGAATTGTCGCAAGACTAGACGGCCACGATCGTTATTTTACCAACATGGATTCATACCCAGGTGAACTACAGCAATCGGTGTCTTTCATAATCGACAAGAACATGTCTATGAGATCATGACCTTGACACGAGAGACACAACGCAAGAGAGGAAAAGTGAAGAACCCGGACTACAAGTTTCCCCTGGTTAATCAACCTTGGCTTTTACCCATAACGCCAGCGGCTTACTTGCTTCATCTGCCTAATCTGGTCACTAATTTGAAGAGCTCGTGGCTCAGAATCACTGCCATCCGTACGCCAACCGAATGACGTCGGCAAAACATATATTATATATACGGAAGTCGGGGACTATCTCTTGGTCTGGATGATAAGAAGGACAAGGCCAATATAGTCTACGATCGATCAATCGATAGTCGTGTCTCTTAACCTGGTCCCTTGGATTGGTGTTTGAGGCAACTGGCAGCATGAAGCGTCCCTGATGTTATCTCATGGTTCAATTCCATCGATCTTCCCACGCAGGACTGCCATGAGTTTCCAGGACCTGCTCAAAGCACTCAACTAGCTGATTGGCAAAGGCGACTTGCTGCATTCTGTCCAGAACAGGCCTCACCTGGCTATTCATGAGGGTCAGACAACCCTTTGACACAACTCCCAGCCCTGCCTTAAGCCCTCGGCAGTTTGATCCCTCGACGGTGAATAGCAGAGGGCTTCGATAGAGGACACCATCAAGTGTTGTTTCTCCACTGCAGTCCACAACTGCCATGACGCAGACGCTAACCCTCCTAGTTAGCTTCGGTTGGTCACCCGTCATTAATATATACAACGATAGCCTTCCAAGCGGGTGAGGAATGGCTCCTGCGTCGTCACAACACCAAATATACCCTATCCACGTCCCCATCGACCCAAAGTTCAAAGACACCAGGGAGCTCTGTACTATCCTTTCTCCCATCCGCAATACTGAAATATAAAAGATGTTAGCCGATCATTCCCCAACATCCTGGCCATCATCACCTATTCCCATTGGCAGGGTGAAGGCGGGCATGGTGCTCTCTTTCTCTGCTCGCCTCTATTCTCCTCCACTCCAATCACGGTCGCCCCTACAGTCCCGCGGCTCATGGTGTTGGTCCGGACTACCAAGTATCCCTACTATGTGCAGACATATCCCTGCCCCAGGAGAACTTCTCCAGTCCGGCTTTTCTACCCTCTCTCCTCACTATGGTATGCCCGACCTATCCCCCTCGAAAAGAAAATTAAGGAGGAAGATCAACACAACGAAGGTGACAAACATTCACCCGCCCGCTCCCCATATCAGATCCGTCTACGCCTACTCTACTCCCTGGTGGCAATACAAATGCCCAGGCCTACACCTGAACCATCCACAGCACTCTACCTCCTTACCAACCACCGTCGACTATTCAACTATTATATCTATACTATCTTTCTTCTCCTCCATTCCCGATCTCGATCACTTCCCAACGCAGGATTCCAAATTACATTATCTTCTCAGGTCCTTGCTGATCTTATAATGTCCCGAGAAACGAACTAGAAGCAAGTCACCAGGTGACTCAAGAACCCGGAACATATCCAACTTGGTATTAACCTCACGATACCAAGGACCCGACGTGTACCTCTGCCCGTGACCCGGGAACGGCACGGTTGAGTGGGCAGAGAAGGGAGAAGGAAGAAGGGATTGACAACAAGGCTACGTTTCCGTGTCGAGTAGGTGCCGAAGTCGATGGATCTATTGAGGTCAATACCTACTTATATCTAGTCTGTTTCTTTCTCCAGATTCGTTGTGTCGATGTGAAGGACACACCACTTCTATCGTCGTTGCTTTTGGGGGTAGACCTGGTACTGGTTCGACACGATAATCCGGGTGGATTTTGTGATTTATCAGAGTTGAACGGAGAGTTCTTTGGTAGGCGGGTCGGGATGAATAGATAGTCAGATGCCTCTAGCCGATGTTCTTTGGTTGCTGGAAAGGGAAAGACGACGGAACGAAAAAAGGAGGCAAACATGAACAATACGAGGGTTAGGATATCCAGATAGGATAGGTTGTGGTTGGAGTACTGCTAGTTTACCCCTACATCCGATAACAGGCAGCATGAACAAATAACCATCATCATCAAACTCTTTACAGACAACCACAATACCAAGCCATCCGGATTTCTACCTTCATAACAAATAATATCTTGATAGAATAAAATCTATACTAACTCAAAGTCCCCTCAACCCGAACCACAATCATCAACCCATCTAGTCATCTGATAGATCTGCACGAGAATGTCCTCACGGCCCAAAGATACCTAAACCCCGCCCCTCCAACCTCCTGACCGAGTGGTAGATATCAACAGCACAGGCTGAGTAGTCTATTGGGTAGAATCAGCTATAATTCCGAGTTTACCATGCATCGGGGGAGTAATATGTGGGTAGAAGTGGGAGATTTCTATCGTCGAGGGAGATAAAACACCTTTTTGATGTCTGATCGATAGTAGTTAAAGAGTTATCAAAGCTGATATATCGTCTTTTTAAGGGTCAGAACCTAAGGGGGTGGGGTACGTAGTAGTTGATGGCAGTATCCTGACTGTTCGTGCTAACGTGGACGTGCATCCTCAAAAGGTCAGCCTACCAGCGAATGAATATCATTTGAAACGATACCCTCCACTGCAATGCACGATATGAACATAATGCATCTTCCGGTATGCACTAAGTTATGCCGGAATGGACAAGCCGAACCCCGGAATGGAGCTCCTCCACCGCCTCCACGCAGGGGCGGCCCCTCCCCGGCTCCCTTTGCTGTCGCTTCCGGGAGTGCCGGATCTTACGGAATACTCTCACACTTTGCAACTCTGGTATGATAACACCTCGCTTTGTCCATATCTTAATATCGCATGCATATATACACACTGCAAAAGAGTGACGAGACTTCCGGGGTATCCTCTGTAACGCCAAACGCTCAAAAGAAACAAGCAGGCACGAATCGTTTTACTTCAAATGCCCCTTCCGGATCGCTCCAAATCCCTTCGAAAACAACTCGTGAACCTCGATTGACCGGCGCGGGGTTTGGGGGACCTCCTCATCCTCCGGTGTCGTGTTCACTCCATACCCGTCCAGTTCCACGTCTTCCGTCTCGACCGGACCAGCGGTCTTGGAGCCGGTCATCATCACTCGTGGCTGAGCCAGAAGCTCCCGAATCTGCCGCTCGCGCGCTTCCATCTCCTCCTCGCGGGCCAGCTCGAAGCTGGATTTCTTCTTGCCGTGATCCCAGCCTTGCTGCAACTCTGAAGCTGCGGCTTCCTCGAACCGCTTCCGAATGTCCAAGTCCTGCTCATACTCCTGGAAGACGTCCACGTCCGTGGGGAAGAACAACGCCCGCACGGAACTCACGGTCATTTCGAAGACAATCACGGCGACAACGGTGATGAACAGCGCCGCCCAGAATGCGAGATCGTGTCCGGATGCAAAGACAAAGTTGCCCAGGACGTGGTAGATGCCGTCGCCGGAGCTGAAATTGTACCGGACATCCAGGATCAGGTTCCACAAGAACCAGCCACCCACTGAAATTATCCACACAGCCAGGCACAAATATGTCTTGTTGTGCACCTCCAGAACCTGCAGCTTGGTGTTGATCACGATGACACAGGCCGTGAAGGAGAGAAGACCAGCCGAAAAGATGTCGCTTCCCGTGTGAGTGAACATGACATTCTCGAACAGCCCAAACATGCAAAAGTAAACCAACACCGCCTCGCAGGCAGCCATGAATGTCCAACCCAGATACAGCCGGATATTGAACCCACCATGGCGCTGGCCTTTGGTGTACAGCTCCGGAACGGCCAAGAGAGTGGATGCGGACAGGTCTTTGGTGAAGATGCCAAGGAAGATGACCGCCAGCGAGGTGAACAGGGTGTTGAACATACTCAAGCTCCACGACTCGTACAGACTGGTGCCGGTGTACCCGTTCCAGCGCTGGTACAACGCCTGGCTCAGGTAGAACAGCATTTCCTTCCAGAAGGTCCCGAGCGTGTACTTGCACGCCCGGATGTAGTTCCACCGGCCATGGACCAGGAGCAGCTTGAGCAAGAACCGGAACTGGGCGATCGAATAGTCCGAAATCCGAGCCGCTTGCAATCCCTCCTTGCCGGTAATGCCGATGCCGACGTGGGCTTCCTGGATCATGGCAATATCATTCGCGCCATCGCCGATCGCAAGGGTCACGCTACCCTTGACTTGTTGACGGATCGATTTGACTAGGAACGCCTTTTGCTTGGGGCTCGCACGGCAGCAGATGACCGAGTCAACAAGGACTGCCAATCGGAAAAACTGCGCCTCTAGAATTTCATCCGACTCGATCATCGAGAGCGTTTGCCCGTCGACTACCACAACCGAATGAGCCACGGTACCCTTGAGGATGTCGCCGGTCAACTTGACAATCGACTGCTCAACCTCTCCGTTCTCTTGATCTAGAATGACAAGGGTGGAGTAGTCCTTCACCAGACGACAGGAGTGCCCGATGTTGATGGCGGTCTCTCGCTTGTCGCCAGTCAGCATCCACATTTTGATGTTGGCTCGTCGCAGTTTGTCGATCGCCTCGGGGACGCCGTGCTGTAACTTGTCTTCGATGGCTGTCGCGCCCGTCAACTCCAGCTGTTGCTCGATCTGCTCTCCGACCTGTTCGATTTTCTCCTGTCGGTCGACCAGGCTCGTGGAAGCCTCGCGGTAGGCGGCTTTCCAGCTATTATAGGTGGCGTCATCGAGGAAGCGGTGCCCGTACAGGAGCGTCCGCAATCCCTCCGTTGCAAAGTCGTTCAGATGCTGGAAACACCGCTCGAACACGGCAGTTTCGTTGACCACCAAAGCCTCCTCCACGAGGTCTTCCTCCTCGTTTTCATGAATGGAACTGCCCGAGTCCGACCATGTGCTCGAAGCGCGTCCCAGCTGGGCTGAGGGGCGAGGGCTGTAGTATTCGGGGTCGTCGCCCCGCGTCAGCATACCGCCATCAGTCTCCCTGTCACGGAGCCACACATCGATGCTCTCCCTCAAGGCGGACACGTGATCGCCGGTAACGCTGGAGCGCCGACGGGCCATGCTCGGCCGACCGAAGCTGGTCCGAAGCCCACTATCCTTTCGGCTGTGGTACTCGCTGTTCCGTCGCACGACTTGGGCAGCCTCGGCCGCCTTGCGTTTGCTAACGCGCCTCTCAATCTCCACGGCCTTCTCTTGCGCGAGCGCGGCGCGTTTCAGCAGGCGCATCAAAATGCTATCGGCACCCTTGCAGAACAGACAAATGCGTTGATCAGGCATCCGCACCACGACCGACATCCGTTTACGGGCGCTCGAAAACTCAATCACGTCCATGATCTCATAGACCTCATCACAGGGCCTATCGTCGGGGCCGTTGGGATAAGTCCGGATGGTCAATGTGTTGGGTTGCCGATCGCGAACAATGTACCCAAGCTCCTGGGCCGCCATGACCAACGCCAACTCATCAGGAGATGCGGCCTGGAAGGAAACATTACCAGCTTCGTCGTCTTCGGGAATACAAGTGTGACACAGCGCCAGCGCTAGGATAAACATCTTGGCTTTGCGAGCAAAGACGGTGTATGGCTTGCGCTGGATATACTTGAGCATATCAGTGGTACGGTTGTTGCGCATCGAAGCGCCACGCTGTCCGTTCGTCATGGACATGGACGTTCTGGGAGGCTCTCTGCGGACCTCGGAGACATTGGACTTGCGGCTGAGCGCCTTCTTTCCTTTCGCATTGCGCTTCTTGTGGATCAGCTTCGTTTGCTCGCCGGCCTTGGCCGCCTCTTCGACGAGATCAAAGTCATGGTACCATGCGGTGCCGGCCACGCTCATCTTCCGGAAACGCATCGAATTGTTGGTCAAGGTACCGGTCTTGTCGGAGAAGATATAGCTGACTTGGCCTAGCTCCTCGTTGATCGTGGAGGTGCGAGCCTCGATCGGCGTGTCGGTCTCTGGATCATACATGTCGATATCGGTGTTCATCAGGAGCATCTGGGCGACCTTCACGATTTCCATACTCACGTACAGCGAGATGGGAATCATCGTATTGAACATGATCAGGAAGGAGGTGAAAATGGGCCCGATGGCCACACTCGCTTGCGAGAGATACCATGACTTGGGTTCGACCTGCTCATGGAACCAGAACTTATAGGCCAGAGTACATGCGACCGCCAGGATAACGACCATCAGCACGATCAGCATGACGACCCGGTTGACCTTGGCCTGAAGGGACGGGGACTTGATCCGAGGATTCTTGTTCGCATTCATCCGGATTTTACACTCCTCGCCGGTATAGATGACCATACCATATGCACACTCGGTGTTGCGCAGGATGCTTCCGCGGTACACGATCTCGTTGTTGGTCAAGGGCAGCTTCTCGTCCTCGGCAATGGTAACATTTCCGTCGAACTTGTAGAGGTCCATGTTAGGGTCTTCGACGGCGAAATGGAGGGCATTGCTGCAGATTCCCTCCACGGTACCACACACTTTGGCCACAGGCTGAGACGGCTGCTTGTTTTTGAGGTTTGTCTCGCCGTCTAGAGCCATGGTCTCAATATATGCGACGCCATTCGGTCCGTCTGCGTGGAGCAAGACCATATCTGCTGGCACAGGCTGATCACGCTCCAATCTGATGACATCTCCAACCTGGATATCCTTCCACTTTACCGGAGCCCAATCCCGAGACTCACTCGATACGGAGATGCTGTCACTGGGCTCCGTCTGCGTGAACATCCCAGCACCAGGGCGTAGGACAAACGCATATCGGTTATTTTCTTCCTTATCTAAGCGGTAGCGACGCCAGTCATCAAAGCCCTCTTTGCCCATCGAGATAGCGACAAAGATCAACAGCGGGACAAGGGTGGTATAGGAACCGGTCGTACTCAGACCAGGGATCATCTGTAAAATGGCAACGATAAGAAAGTAGAAATTGGCCAGCTTCGTAAACTGCGCAAACAGCTGGCGGGGGAAAAAGCTCCAGAAGCTATAACGACTGGACCGGATAGAGTTGCCGACATAAGGGGTTCCCGTTCTCTCATCAATAAGGACTTCGGTGCGGGTAGCATCAAGATCGATGTGACGACCGTCTTTGCTCGGGGGGATGTCTTTGATGCGAAGGATGGCTTTGCGGGCAGTCTCGAGCATATCCTTCACACGCAGCTTCAGAGTGGCCACTGCTGCCCTTTGCTGAAGCCATTTCTCATATGAGATACTTGTGGAGAGGTGCTTCCTATCCTTGAGGTTCTCCGACGGCTCAGAGTAGTATGTCGTTGAGAGGTCCAGATTGGTATCCGATGCGGATCTCTGTGTCACCAGCACATCTTGCTTCTCATCCTCAGTTGGCGTGCGTGGTACGTCTGCCGGTCTCCTAACAGGCACTGTAATGGGAGGTTCTTCGACGGGGGTTCCTTCAGTGGCAGGTTCTTCAGGTTGTGGGCTAACATCCTGAGCCTGGCTCAATTCAATCGCACCCGGAGACGTAACCGCTGACTCGATGTTCTTTGCGAAGATTGTCCGTCGGAGCGAGTATCCACGATGACGTGACCGCGAGCGGCCAACAGATTCCGGACTCTGCGGGGAAGGAGGGGATAATGTGGAATGCGGAGACAAGGGCGAGGTCGCTCCATGGCCCGGGGATCTGCCCGATGCGGGGACCTGCAATTGTGCGATGTTCGTGTTGATCGTCAATCCCCTCGACCCGGGTCGTTGATTTCCGACTTCCTCCGCGGATGGACGCTCCAAGTCGGTTGAGAAGCGAACATGGTGTTGCGACGGCCTCCGACCGGCATCTGACCGGGTTCGAGATGGCGACAAGGACGGTCGGCTGGGAAGTGCATCGCCTCGAGCGGCATGTATATTCAAGGACTGGCTCCGGGGTAGTGATGTGGGAGCGGGCTCCCCTGCGAGCTCTCCTGTCGTTGTTGGTTGTTCCTCCGTGCTTTCCTGCGAACCGGCATTGGACTCGGGTACATCATCAGGTCGGGACATGGCGTAATAGCAAAGCCTGGACGTTGTCGCTACCACAATACCCGTATCCCTCCTACCAGTTCACTTCAAATCTCGAGCGTAGGGGAAAGCGATCGAACAATGTATCGGTAGTCGTAGAGCTAAGTTCGTAGAAACCTTGACTCATCCTTAGACCCAGCAACAGCAAGACAACAAACCCGTTATGCCCGCATATACCAGACACCGACAGCAAACCACCCAGCGCACTGTATAATCGACTCGACTCGCGGAGGTATCGAAAGGACAAGGTAGGGAGGTATAGGAGGCGAAGAGGAGGGCGAATGCGACGAGGAGCGATGGTTGAAACAGGCGGAAACGACTGTGGGGAAGCAAGTTCCACTAGAAATCAATAGGAGAAGGACTGAGCAGACCACAGCACCAAGCAAAGATGCACTGCACTGCACCAGCAGAGAGGAAGGAAAAGGCCACGCGGAGGAGAATACGGGGAAGACGAGAGACTTCTTTTTCCGCAGGCGGCGAGGGAGCAACCTAAACGGCTTGCCTGAACAGCGAATACGAATGACGACCGGAAGCGGTAAGCGGCCGAGAGAAATTAGAGCCACCGCCACTGAACGCAAAGGAATTAATTAACCGCAGCCTAGTGAGTGGGCGGTCGCAAGCAGCGAAAAGGAGGGGTCGAAAGGTGAGATGATACTACGGAGTAGTATCTAACGCAATGCAGCTAAAATATATTGAAGGACATGGACTAGCGCGTACCCAAGGGAAGGCAACGGAGAAAAAGGAATGATGGAAGGCAAAAGGCAGAGTCTCGAATGAAGAGCAAAAGGTCCGGATGGGGATTGCGGAGGCACCTTAATTGGCGGCGGGCCAGTCATCGGCGTCCGTCGGGGCGAACGTGGCTTGGGGGCCACGCAAACCCCTCGGGCTCAGGGAACGTTGCGTCTGCACTGCCTGGTCTGACCAGGGTCCGTACAGTGGCGAATGTCAATGCCTGCTACAGTAATGATATTCAAGCGAAAATAGTAGTCATTGTGTCATTATTAGTGATTAGCAGAATCTCGAGGTTCACCGATAATCAATCTTTTACCCAGTAACAACTGAACTTTTTTTCCCCGATATAGCTTCTTTATGAGGCAGCCACCCCAAGAGTGACGCAGGTGCATTAGGCCACCCTTTTACTTAAGTGGCCTAATCGCCCTCATCACTAATGAGGGATTCTTCCATCATCTTTACTACGAGAAATATATTCATAAATGCAATTCCTATTTAATATTATGGACTTTGATTGATTTCAACAGATAATCCATTCCCTCAATTCGAAAACAACAGTAACCTAATGAAAACACCTGCAAAACCCCCACCCCACAATACCCAACCAACCCATCCAAGACATCCTCACCATCATACCCACAGCCTCAACAGGCGACCAAAACCCCATCCAAAGACATCCTGACAGGCCAGGCAGCTGTCAAAGAACCCCCCACCCAAGTCTACCCGTACCAGACTACCCTATCGTAAATAATTCCAGATGCAACTAAAGCCCTGCATGGAAGGCGACGCCATCCGGTAGGACCAATGACATGGTCGTACATCCCGACGGAGACCCGACTGTGGCGGCCAGGAAACCTTACCGCATGACAGACCCTCGGGTTGGACAGGAACAGCCTTTCAGTCAGAAATAGTGCCCCGCTGGGTTGAGTCGAGATCTTTGGTTTGACTTTTGGTTGCCACGATGTGTCCATGTATGTGGTTGGTTGGGACCGTGGTTGTGTGGATGTCTATCTAATCTGTAGGATATTGGTGAGATCAGAGTACAGCGATATATGCTGAGAGGTAGATACTTGGATTAGGGCTCAATTATGTTAATTCCTGTGAAACTACGGAGTAGTGTGCATGGTGAGATGGGAATGGTGGGATCATCGAGAGATTGTTCCGCCACCCAGAGTTGAGTCTGTGCGTTGGTGGGAGGGGATGTACCTTTTGCTACTACTGTACATGATTTCACGGAATCCGGGTTACCTATATACTTGGGCTTGAACTGACGCTGCTAATTCTGTATATTGTCCAAAGTGATTGCTGTAGGAGTCTAATAGTATGATCAGCTATTTGTTGTCCGTGGCCCACCACTTGGTCTTCTATGTACTGCGGCACCGCTCAGCATCGACAAACACTCGATGTCTAAGGGTCTGTCGAATTACCTTCATCTTGATAATCCATGGTTATATAACCACCACACATGGCTAATGCCAGTACCGATAAGTCCCCGAAATGCCCTTCCACCCCTCATCCAGCACCTGCACAATCTCCTCCGGCAACGGACCCTTTTCCAGATCCACCAAATTCCTCTCCAGCTGATCCGCGCTGGATGCCCCAACAATCAGCGCATCCTGGAACTCCTTCCTCAACGCACTATGATGCATCATCCATCGCAACCCACACTCACTTTCCGTCAGACCATACTTCCTCGCAACCGGCCGAAGCAACTCAATCGCATCAAACGACCTCTCCGTCAAATACCGATCATGATACATCAAATTGCTCCGCACACGAGGATCAAACCTCGACCCAACCTCATACTCCTCCGTCTTCTGACCCCGACGATACCGCGCCGTCAAAAACCCCGCCGCCAACGGCTGAAACGCATACAGCCCAATCCCATAGTGCCGTAGACACGGCAATAGTTCCGCCTCAATCGAGCGCTGATACGCATTATAGATCCCCTGATATACACTCGGTCTGACATATCCATTCCGCTCACAAATCTCACAGATCCGAGCTACTTCCCAAGCCTGAAAATTCGAGATCCCAAAGCGCCGGAAGTACCCCTCCCGGAATAATCTATCCACTTCAGCGAGGGTTTCCTCAATGGACACCTCTCGATCCGGACCATGAAGATAGAACATATCAATGCCGGTTTCTCGGGCATTCAGTGCATCCAAACTCTCCAGCAGACCGGCCCGGATGTCTTCCGGGCGGTGTGTCCATGTCTGAGGCGTGAGCCATTTCATGTCTCGTCGTTGGGTCGGATACAGCTTGGTGGCCATCACCAGGCCCCGCTCGTGCCAGTGGGCGTCGGCGAGGTAGTGTTCGGTGGACCCTGCGCCGTAGACCCGGGCGGTGTCGATTTCATTGTGGCCGTGGTGTTGGAATATGTCTAACATGGTGGTGGTCTCGATGGGGTGGCTGATTCGGACATGGGCTGTGCCTGCGTGCCTTGTCAGCTCTGGTTTGCTTTCGTAGTTGAGTGTGAGGGGAGTACCTGGTCTGCCGATTGTCATTGATCCGAAGATGATGGGCAGGGGGGTCTTGGGCACGGTCGTCATGTCGCTGGCTGTGTGTGTGTGTGTGTGTGTGTGTGTGTGTGTGTGTGTGTGTGTGTGTGTGTGTGTGTGTGTGCTACAAATGATCAGAGTAATACCATCAAATCGAAGGGATATCCTCCTTCTTACATAGTATAGAGAATCGAATCCACGGTGTTGAACCGGACATATGGCCCCACCTGTCATCCACTTGCATGACATGAGCCAATCGCGATGCTCTACATACTGGAGATATCCATCGTGGAATCCGGCTGATCCTCGGGCGGGTAATACCTAGTACCCATAAGGCTATAAGTTGTCTGTAGGTGTCAGCATTTAGTCTCGGTGGGGTTACGAACCATTGGCTCAGTTGGGCTTTACCGCGTTGGGAGTAAGGTAGTTAAGGGTCATCGCAGCCTTGAAGTAGAACTACAAGGATAAAGTAGCTGATCTTCTCTCACAGTAATTCTAATTTTCTGTAATCGACTGATTCTGACTAAGTGATAGAAAAATCGAACTCAATATACAATACAATCATAGAGATGAGATAAAACCGATGCTATAAGCCAAGTAAGAGAGCTTAGCTATAAGCTAGTACTGGTATTGTCGAGGCTAACAGGAACACCGTCAAAATACTAGTCAGGAACGTTGAGTGGAACAGCTGGATCAAAGTCATTTGGAATGGGCAATTCGTTACACAAGGAACTTACTAGTGGGTACTTTTCCTCTGTATGTTGACATATTTCTTTGTTATCATTTGCAGGGGAGTTACATGTTCACCTTTTCCCCTTTACTTGGCAATAGCGACATTGGGCACATTGGTGAGTCTGCCGTCTACCGAGTGCCGAGTGCCGAATTCCAAGGCAGGCAGTTCAGTCGTTCGGAATCTTGTCTCCTACATGCATCTTCCTTCCCATTCTATTCAGATCGCTTTCTTTTATTCCAGCATGTAGCTAGTAGAATATACTTCTCTTCCTGTTATCTTCTAGTTTCTTTCCATATACTCAAGTCGTATTTCTAAGGATGTTATACGTTGCTTTTAATCCTAATTTTATCGATAGATGGTATGTCCGTAGTTCTTACCTGATACACGACCTTAATACTGAGATGAGATTATATTAGATATATCATTATCAACAGTAAGCATATCATATCTTACCAAGACTAGCAACAGCAACACGCCGAGGAGAAACACCATCAGCCCAACCTTCCAACGCGCTCACTCCGCCTTGATGATGTCTGCGGCCCTCTCCGCCACCGCATACACGGTGGACATGATATTGGCCGCGGGAATAAGAGGAAAGATACTCGCGTCACACACCCTAAGCTTGGTAACGCCATAGACCCGGAGCTGGTCATCAACCACCCCTCCATTCTCCCGCGGCAGCATCGCGGCCGTCCCACTCGAGTGGTAAGTAGTGGTCGCCGTATCCCGGAGATACTTCTTCGCGGAGTCGAGGTCACTAAGGAACGCGTCGGGATGGTTCCGACGTCCATCCGCCAGGAGAAACTCGGCCATGAGCGTCACCCGATGGACGCGTTCCACGTCCAAGAGATTATGTGCCATGATCTCCAGATCCAGCGAGTTCGAGAAGTAACGCGGATCGATGGTCGGCGATACGGACGGGTCGGCGGAGGCGATGTGGACCGTGCCGCGCGAGAAGGGATGACTCTGGGAGAGGCCCAGACTCAAAAAGTTCCCGGACTGCAGGGCCTGGCCTACGAAGCTCTTCCCGTCTTGGTGCAGGTTGGCCTGGGCTAGAAACATGAACATGGAGCACGTGGGGGCATCGGCCCGAGCGTATATCTCCCGGATGACTTGGTCGCGTCGGTCCGGACCCGTGGGAAACCCAGCCAGAAACGCCTCCTGGGCGTCCGGTCGGCCTCGGTACTTCGTGATGGGCATGTAGGCACAGGACTGGACCCCTCCCACGGTCATGGGCCCGGTCTTGTGCTCGGCATACAGCTAGAAGGCCGCCTGAATCGCGTCGGGTTCCTTTCGTAGCAGTGGATCTCCGGTCACCACGCCCGGTTTTACTTCGAAACTGATGCCACTCATCAAATGATCCTGCAGATTCTCTCCCACGTTCGGGTTGTCCACCACGAGCGGAATGTCATACTGCGCTAGGATGTCCTTGTTCCCAATGCCAGACAGCTCGAGAAGCTTCGGGCTGTTCAAGGCTCCGGCGGCCAGGATGACTTCTTTCGTGGCCTTCACCAGGACGGTCTGTCCGTCAATCTGGGCTTCGACTCCGGTGGCCGCCGGGACTCCGGCGTTGTCAGCGGCAAAGACCACTCGCTGAACGGTCGCCTCGGTGACGAGGCGAACCCCGTCCCGCCCCATGGCGGGGAGGCCGTAGCCCGTGGCGGCGTAACTGCGCGTCTTGGTCTCGAAGTCGACCGCCGCCAAGTTGGAGTACCCACCCGTGGATGTGCCAGAGAACGGATCAGTGGTACACCCATAACCCAGTTCCTGAAAGGTCTGGACCCAAGCCTTGGACAACGGGTCCTGCTTCACGGCGGGGAAGGAGACCTTGATGGGGCCCGAAGTGCCATTGACCTCAGGATCGACCCAGGCGACGCCGATATGGTCGCGAGTCGCCTCATCAGGCATCTGCAAAGTCGTGGCCTTTTTGTAATACGGGGCCAGGGTCTCCCAGTCCCAGCCGGTGGCTCCCAGCGTGGCCCAGGCATCGATGCCCGTCTTGGTGGGAGCCACATATGCCTGGCCATTGATGCCCGAGGAGCCTCCGAGCAGCTTGCCTTGGGGCTCCTTGATGACTCGGTCGCCGAGCCCAACCTGGATTCACCGCTGTTAGTGCTGAGTCGTCACCATGCGGTTCCTGACATAACCTGAGGGATGGATTGGTACTGCCAATCCGCGTCGGATCCCATCAGCGTGGTCCACAGTGCGGGCGTCTGGACCCGAGGGTCCTCCACTAGGTTTTTGCCGGCCTCTAGGACAATCACCGATCGGGGGACATCATCTTCGGATAGTCGGGCCGCTAGCACGAGCCCTGAGGTGCCTCCGCCGACGATCACATAGTCTGCCTCCCACGGTGTGTCGACTAGGGAACCCATGCTGTGATGAGTGAGAAATTAAGGGGTAGCAAGAAGAATTCGAAAGAAGGAGTATCCAGAAGGCTGAGGCCGACGGCGATGGTGCTCTTTATAGTTGAAGCAATCCCACGCATCGCCAGTCTTTGTCCACCGATGCAAAATACCGAAGCTATACAAAAACAGTGGAGCTAGTAAATAAACCGTATCCAACACCCTATATTTCACTCTAATACATCAATCATGAGACATACGCCAATAAAAATAATAGCCTAGAAACACTAGTAATGCAAAAGCACAACGCGATTCTTAATCTACTTTCTTCCCAAACTTTTACCAATGATGGCCCAAGCCTATACTTAGTGCGTGCAAGCGGGGAATCCGACCGAATCAGCGGCCTCCCTAGAGCTGTCAGATTTTAGACCCCGCGCCACAAGAAGAGGGGTTGCACAAGACTGGATGTTATGGCTCTCGTCGCGCTGTCCGTTGGTTATTTCTTTGTTGGGGCCAACGACATATGGGTAGATTGCTGAGATGGGGGGGCCTAATATTATCGGACGGTGAGATTCCATCGGTCAGGTACTCCATACATAAATTGAAACTATAAGGCTGGTGTTGGTGTTGGTGTTGGTGCTCTGTTAACGAGGAATAGTTGGAAGGCTACTACTAACTTCCATATCTCATCGATTGCTATGCGTATGATAGAGCAGACTGTTTTTGCGGTCATCCCATGATCTCAGATCTCGATGGCTTTGGCGATGGGACTATGGGGGGATGGGATGGCATGGAGTGAATCACAGCCTGGTGACCCCTCCGCCGTTGAAAGTCGTCCTGCTAGGCGACTAGACCCGTACGTATGCGGGATCTGCTGGAGCCTGGCTGACCCCAGTGGAGACCAGTTCTGCCTTAGCCAGGCCCCAGTGGCCGGAAGCCTTCCACCAACGGTCCCCAGCTAGATACTACATACTATGGCCTCGATAGGGCTCGATGTCACCGACCACATCTCTTTCTCTTTAGACTCCGGGATTTCTTTCAGTAGCCGGGATATACACACAATTATATACTGCGAGTGATATGTACAACCATTTTCTCTGGCGCAAAACGAATGCAAACAGCACAGTAGAAAGACGGAGTACTAATATATCTGGAAGCCAAATGGCGTCTCGTCTAGAACCAAGCGACGCCTTGCATCTTGAGTCACATTCGCCAGTGAATTTGATTTCAGGGTAGGAACTATATTTATCTAATCTCAGGACGGGGAACGGTATGATGTTGAGATATGCTATTTCTACCTTCTACACCCGAGGCTAAGAAGGGATATATTCCTTTTGGCCTAGGTGGTTCTTGACATATGATAAGGGAGATATTTGACCTGAATGTAGATCACCTGATTTCTACAGCCCTTCTTTACTTATCCTTATTTATTATTACTCAAACCACCAGCCATCCTCTGTTTAAAAACACGGTCCGGAATCCTCCATAGTAGCAACTTTAAAATATTTACCGGGAAAAATACGCTCAACCCAAAGATCTCAGTATCCGTACTTGGCTAAGATTCCTTTTCCATACTTCATATGCTAAATATGACTTATGAGTTATGACAGTAGTGTGCACCCAACCCCACAATTCACGAATCATAAATACATACCCCACTGGGTCATCACCAACGGCATTGTATCCATCACAACTGGCATGGAATAATACAAAAAATGGAGCTGCGGGGAATCGAACCCCGGACCTCTCCCATGCTAAGGGAATATTATACCACTAAACCACAGCCCCATTTCATGAGATGCAGCAGGGCATTTATGTCTGATAAGGATGCCTCGCAGCCACTAGTGGAATGGCAATGGTGTTAGGCATCGCGGATGACTTTCGGGAAATGCCGCACGGAGGAAGATGCACCCGCTATAGGATGGTGCATGAAGGGGCGGTGGTAGCGATAAGGAGCCTAGAGTTGCTATCCGTTGGGGAGAGGATCGTTTCTTATCGGGGAATGCCCCGCACAATATGTATTTAGATTCGAGGTAGTGAGGACAAAAATTACGATACATCTATGAGATAGTTTAGAATTAAGCAGTAGTACTATAGAGATAATGAACCCCCGTTCAATATACAAAATATAATATAAAATATCTTAGCCTCTTAGACAATCAACTATAGGGTAAGGATATGATTATTCAAATTCCAGAATCTGATTCATCAGGGGCATACATGAAAATATATACACATGCCCTTTCACCCTCACGATGAGTGGCCGACGTAATCTGCATCTAATCACTATACAAAGCGGTATTGCTATCCCACAGGCACCCCAAGCAAGTCCGCAAAGCCATGCCCCTCGGTGAGAAGCCAGCTTCTCCACTCGCTATCAAGGGCAACGAAGTGATCGTCGAAGAGAGGTTCTTCCACGTTCTCAGGCTGCTGGATCAGGTCCATATGACTGCAGATACTGGCGGGAAATGGGAACAGAGCTTGCCATTCGGAAATATGCTGCGTGGGATTGCCATCCACCAGACATCTGTCCTCATTCCGCAATCGTTCAATCTTGCGCAACACCATGTCGGATCCACCGTATTTGGCACGCATGGTGGCCATGATGGAGCATAGAAGGTCGGTTTCCTGTTTATGCAGCGCATTCTTTTCCGCCCCGCGCGGCCGGTAGTGGATTTGTGGCAAAGAGACAATCATACAGTAGAAGCCGTGAATCGGAAGCAAATAGGCGGTTTGCTCGCGGAGGTGAATCTCCTCGTAGAGCCTGCTTATGCAGGATGATGCGACCAGGGAGGGTACGGAGGTATAAGTCTGATTCGTTCCGTCTTGCAAGAACTGCAACATGAATGGCTACAAAGTATGTGATATATATTTCACAGCAACAGCCTCGACGCACGTTTGCAGACGAAAGGGATTCCAGCGAAGGCCAGGCGGTGGATTCAAAGCTTCATGGAAGACCGCCAGGCCAGCATCGATTTCAATGACTTTGAATCAGCCATTAGCCCCTTAAGGAATACCAGACTAGCCCAAGGATCCCCGCTGTCCCCTTTCCCCATTCATCCAAATTCGGGTACTTAGACAGCGAGTAAAATCCAACCAAAACTCACGCGCGTCCGAAAAACCAGGCATGTACTTTCGCAACAAATCCTTCCACTCTTTATCCTCCTGTCCCAGACCAATCCCCGCACTAGTATACTCCCACCAGACGGGGAAATACCCCGAGGCTTCCCAATCGAGTATGCCCGCGAGATGAAGTAGCGCCCATCGAGCTCCTCCCAGTCTTCGACCACGGTGGGCACTGGGATGGTGGTCTTTTCTGGCAAGAATCGTACATTCATGGCTTCGAAATTGGGAGCCTGGTTGGAGCGTTCTTTTAAGATTAGATTCGAACCTAATGACCAGACGCCTCGGTCGCTCACCCCGTAGAATAACTTGACGTGGCTTTGGTAGCGGCAGTTGTCCTGACGGGTAGAGGTCCAGCTGCATGCTGGACATGGTGTAGATGGCTGCATGTTTTCAAAGACAACAATGAAAAGACACCACGCGGATTGCAGGGGCGATCCCTATTAGAGTTATCACGGTGACAGTTCCAGCGAAGAATTGGATATTCATTACAGTGTGTAAACTGCGTATTCACTCTGCAGGGCTTGTATATTTGAGGGAAGTAAAAAGAGAGGTAGATAATGCCTTGCGGGCTAGTAAGTCTTTGCAAGAATATCATAACAGTTTGTTTTAGGCAAGGAATCAGAGTACATATCATTGGGAATATCATCAACTACAAACAAATTGGAGAAGCGAGTGTAAGGCATAATGAATAAGAAGGAAATCGTAGAGATATTACCATAAGAAGAACAGCTAAATGGGTATCCCTCTTTTTTACGCATCTTGTTCCAGAGTAGAAGAATTTAATCTCAACATATCTGATCAGGACATATCAATCCGGAGCAATTTTGCAAATTCCTCTTCCAAAGAATCATCATCATCATCTTCATCGGCCTGACAGTGAACTAATCAAGTTAGCCATAAGCAGTGCGGAGGCAGGGCCTGATAATTACCACCATCTCCAGCTTCCTCTGAACCCTCGGCATCCGTCCGTAACATCCTCTTCCTACCATTCCACCGTGCCCCAACAGCCGCAGATCCCACCATCCCAACCCCAAGGTTCGAGGCAGTTGTAAATGCCCCCGCGGCCGTACCCCCCATCGCAGCTCCTTGTAACATAGAAAACAGACTCCCCGCTTGGACCACCCCGATGGACGACTGCCACGCGGCAGCGAGCGAGGCGGCCACAGGGCCGGTAGCGCTAAAGCCCACAGCACCTAATAGGGCCGGGCCGGTGAGGGGTGCGGTCGCGAGGGCAAGTCCGGTGCCACCGACCGCTAGGGCAGTTGGATGGTCTCGCGCAAATGTCTGTCCGGAGGTGAGAATTGATGTAGTTGCTTTCTTTAGATGCTCCATGGTTTGTTGTTGTGAATAAGGAGGGGGATTTGAGGGTGGAGAAGTAGGTGGGGTTGATAGGTGCGGCTGATGAAGGTATATTTGAGAGAGAAGAAGAACGAGGGCGGCCTGGTTAGAAATGGAAGTTGGGGGGTATCACGCTATGGATGACTAGAGCAGAAGTGAAATGGATTCTAGCCAATAGGTAAATACCGTATGGCTTGGGCACTGTCCTTTTGGCCTAAGCGCCGTGAATGTCTACTGGTATTCACCACAATGCAGAACATAACATCTGTGACAGTTATTGCTCACGGTGATTGTATACTGGGAGTATGAATGAGTCATTAATTTCAACTGTCTGAAAAGCGTTGACCACAGAATATTTTTGAATGTCACTGGTTGGTACTCTTCGGGCGTGACTATCGACATCAGCGAGTCAGGAACCCACGACAAGGCTGAGTAGGAATGAGAAAGAAATATCCTATTCGCCTGGCAGATCTTTCCGAGTTTGGGGTTTGCGGCACCGAGGGTTTGATACTTCCTGATCAAGAATATGTCCAAAGCCAGACCGCCACATACTTGTGAAACACCATGCCTTTTTGTGTAACATCCGGAAATACCATTTACAACCCCAGACCCTTTCTGCTAGATCCAACAACTTATCTTGCCATGAATTATTAGATTCATTAGTGTCGATTGAGCGCCATGTAGAAAAATACTCACTAGTGATAGCAATGCCACGTTCCAGTATGACAGAAGTCGATCGGGAGATCTCGTGTCTCAAAGCTAGAGTCTGCAATTGACAGATTGCGGCGAGTCAGTTACATTCACCAAGCTATGTAATGAGCAAGGGCATGACCACACAATCATTCCCCTCGCCGTTGAGGTATGCTTCGTACTTCCGTTGGTTTCTGTCAGCCTGACTCGTTGCTCCGGAAGCCATAAGCGGACAAACCGGGCCACACCTGCCAGTCCTTCAATAAAGGCAGGCTCGCCTCATCAAAGACAAGGGCAGTATCACTAGTAAATCCTTAGCTTTTCACATCTCAATTTCTGACACATTGATTCACCAATCTCCATCCTAGCTACTTCGTGGCCACCAATCCTTTCAGATCACTACAACATGGTCATCCGAGAGTTCAACTCGGAGCCGCTGGACAGCCTGTGCTCTCGTGAGCAACTGGAGCTCTTAAACGCCATCGATACGCTTCGATCCCAGGGGATTAGCCATTATGTCTCTCTACCCCAGATCATTGTGTGTGGCGACCAGTCCTCCGGAAAGAGCTCTGTGCTGGAGGCCATCTCTGGCGTCTCCTTTCCTGTCAAGAGCAACCTCTGCACCCGCTTTCCAACCGAGCTGGTCCTGCGGAAAGACAGCAATGTCGGAGTCAGAGTATCTATTGTTCCCCATCACTCCCGCAGCGAAGTAGAGCAGCGGTCGTTGGGGAGCTTCTGCGAAGAGCTGGACGGATTTGATGGGCTTCCTCAGCTGGTCGATAATGCTAAAGCGGCAATGGGCATATCTACTCATGGGAAAGCATTCTCCAACGATCTTCTACGGGTTGAGGTGTCAGGGCCGGACAGACCGCACTTAACCATTGTGGATTTACCCGGACTAATCCATTCCGAGACTAAACATCAATCCGCCGCAGATGTGCAGCTGGTGCAGGAGGTGGTTCAGACATACATGAAGGAGCCGCGAAGTATCATCCTGGCGGTGGTCTCCGCGAAAAATGACTACGCGAATCAGATTGTCTTGCGGCTGGCAAGGGATGCGGATCAGTCGGGCAATCGGACCTTGGGTGTTATCACCAAGCCCGATACACTGATCGCAGGTTCAGAAAGCGAGAGGATGTTCATCACCTTAGCCCAAAACCGGGACGTGGAATTTCGCCTGGGATGGCATGCGCTCAGGAATATGGATACCGACCAGGAGGCTTGGACTCTTGCCAATCGGGATCACCAAGAACGAGATTTCTTCGCCAAGGGAGCCTGGAGTGAAATGCCATCTTCATTGGTGGGGATTGGCTCGCTGCGAACCCGTCTCAGCCGATTGCTTCTGCGACAGATTGCGGCTGAGCTTCCAAGTCTCATCGAGGAGATACAAGCCAAGGAGGACGACTGTGTCCTGCAATTAAAAAAGCTTGGCGAGCCGCGAGCCACTCTCGATGAGCAAAAGTCGTATCTTCTGAACATCAGTCAACGTTTTCAATCTCTGGTCAAAGGTGCTGTTGACGGCACGTACAATGAAGCGTTCTTCGAAGACATCAATTCTTCGGCGGGACGTCAGAAGCGACTTCGTGCTGTTGTCCAAAATATGAACGAGGATTTTGCGGAGCGTCTTAATAGACGAGGCCACTACCGCAAGATTTCAGAGAGCCCAAGTGAATCGAATAGCCTCAGCATGCAGGTGTCCGTCACGCGCAGCGAGTTCATTCAACATATTCAGGCGCTTATGAAACAAACGAGAGGACGGGAATTGCCCGGCACATTCAATCCTATGATTATCAGCGAACTGTTCGTAGAACAATGTCGCCCCTGGGAAGCTATAACACACCAGCATATTCTCTCGACCTGGCTGGCAGTCGAAGAATTCATGTCACTTGCGATAGGTCACATATCTGACGAAGCAACGTCTGTTGTGCTTTTCACCGAGGTCATCTCCCCAGCACTACATCAACTGAAGGAGGTTCTCGCAAAGAAATGCGAAGAACTCCTTGCAAGTCATCGGAAAGGTCATCCAATCACCTACAATCACTACTACACAGAGACCTTGCAAAAGGCCCGTGCTGAGAGGCGCACAGGCGAGCTAAGCAGAGTCATTGAAGATTACTTCGGGGTTGATGACCTACACACATCATATCGCCTCGAGGGAAAATACCGCCTACAGGATCTTCTGCAATCCCTCCTAGGGTCCAATGAGCCAGATATGATGCAGTTTGCTTCAGCCGAGGCTTTGGATTGCATGCTCGCTTATTACAAAGTATGATAAGACATTTATACCTCTGGTCTTCCTATCATCGGTGCTGACGATTGCAGGTGGCCCTGAAGAGATTCATCGACGACGTGGCGGTTGAGGCTGTGGAGGTTGAACTGGTTCAGTCTCTCGCTTCTCTCCTCACACCTACCAAAGTCTTCGAAATGCCCTCTGGGCTGGTATCGCGTATCGCTGGCGAGTCTGAAGAGAACCGTGCCCTACGGGAACAACTGAACAAGAAACTACAGATTCTCGGGAAGGGCTTGAGAACCTGTCGACATTTTGTTGGCAGTCGTGGCGCCGGTACGATTGTGACTAAAGAGGTACGCCATGCTTATGACAAGATCCACGTCTTATCACAAGCCGATCCTGTCGATCCTAGCATCTCGGAGAGTCGTGGCAATCCCAACGATGCAGATGCCGAAGTGAAAAGCGAGATGGGTGAATCTCTGAGTGAACAGGAAGTAGTCTTTTAATCCCAACCCCCATCCCAGTCAGACACATGGAATGATGAACCCAGCCCATCTGCAGCGGAGCAAGCATCCTTGGACCCTGAGAATGTGGAGCCTCAAACAGTATCTGTGGAGAAACAGGACTGTGTTGGCCTGACGCCATCTTCCCGGACAGGCAAAAAGAAGTTTAGACCAATAAAGTGATCAAGTCCCTATTGCTTATAGCCACTTCTTGAGCATCGAGGTTCGAACGTGTGGCGTTTCGTTTGATGATTAGGACTTTTACTCAAATTAAGCACTTATCCATCAAGATTGGCTTTCAATACTTAACCACTACCTCTCCGGAAGCGATATACATGATCTCCGGAGGACTACACATCCCAAAGCACGTGGTTCGAAACTGCTACTTGGAAATTCTGAATTCAGGCAGGATTCACTGATCGTGCAATGAATTCCAGCTAATGACACCCCGGTACCGGATCTTCCCACTCTGCAATCTATCCACCGCATGAGTGACACCTTCAAGCGTCATGGGATATTGTTCCACAATGGAATGAATTTTGTGCCGAGCGGCAAAGTCCATCATTTTGTTCCTACAACCGTTAGCTTCAGCAACGTCCTTCCCAAGAACAAGCAGCACATACTGAGGGTATCGACTCGAGACACAACTCCCCACAATACTAATCCCCCGAGCAATCGTGGGCATATACGGCGCAGTCAAATCCCCCGAGTCCACGGACAAGGGAAAAATACTTGCCTTGCGAGCCAAGATGGGATAGAACAACCCCAGGTTGAATTTCGCAGAGGAGGTGATGAGAAGTCGGTCGATAGGCTTGGGTACGCCGAGAGTCGCATAGTCAGAGACGCCCTTGGTGGCGTAGAATTCATTGGCGCCGAGGTTCAGTGCTTCGTCGCGCTTTTCTTCCGTTGATGAGAAGACAATCACGTCGCATCCCATCTTGGCTGCGAATTGGATGGCCAGGTGACCGAGGCCTCCGATGCCGACTATCCCGATCCGTTCGTAGGGCTTGCATTGCTCGACTAAGGGGACCCAGACCGTGCCACCGCCACCTTCACAGGTCAGATCATGTAGAGTGGGAGGCTGGAGGAAACTTACACATCAACGGGGCCGCATCCGCGGAAGACATGCTGTCGGGGATCTGGAAGAGCCATTGTTCTTTTCGCACGGCATGGCTACAGATCGAGCCGTGGATGTCAAAATCCTCCACGCCATACATCTTCACCTTGGGACAATAGGCCTCTCTTCCAGTCATGCACATGTCGCATGCATCGCAGGTCGAAAGGATCGGTCCCCATCCGACTCGATCGCCGACTTTTAATCGGGAACAGGCTGAGCCGATCTGTTCGACGATGCCGATCCCTGTGCTGTCAGCGAAGAATCATTGTAATTGAAGGATAATTACCTTCATGTCCGAGTACCATGGGCACGCTCAGGAAGTGGAGATCGCTTCCGCAGAGACCGCTGTCGGTCACTTTGACCAGGACTTCATCGGGCTGGATGTTGGGAAGCTCGGCAGTGGTCTGGACAATGTGTCCGGAAGGAGACCCACGAAATTGGGTCGCTTGAACCATGTCGGAATCGAGGAGTTACTATCTCTTGAGATAACTAGATCAGCCGGGACCGACGTGCATTTATACCTGCAGGGTCTATCCCACCTATCTGCTCTCAGCACCCACGCTATCTCATCACGCCTGCATTGGCATTCACCAGCCAACCGTCGAGGGAAATCACTTCTACTCACTGTCCAATAATAGTCGACGATCAGACCACCCCGATTGTCAGTTGTGATCTAGTTCATAAAATTGGCGTCATGCATCCGCTTGCACGGACATAATGTTAAACCCGGGTCAGCACTTTGATAACGAGGCCCACTGTACTGGCTAGTGGCCACTAATTAGCAACTGATGATGATTGGAAATAACCTGGCTTGTCATCTAGTCTAATGGAGATACTACTGGAACGGGATAGAGGATCCGGTGGCCACAATCCTCTATATGCGAACCACGCGGAGACCGTATGCGACAACCAGTGCAATGCGGGGTAAAATGGACGCAATCAAATCTCAAAGGTTCATGCTGCATGGCTCTCTCAATTCAGTCATAGGTATTCTATATCCCCCGTATCGCGGAGTCATCGGTCAAACCTTTTCCTCCAATAGCATTTGGTCCCATTGCCAGGTCAGCCCTAAGAATAAATCCTGATCCGCGAACACTAACTTGCAACCCGGTCCAAACGAAGGACTTCAATACCAAACCTCACTATTCACGCCTGCACGAGCTCACTCAGCCAAATCTCCTCAATATAGTAAGCCGATCTTGAATCCCTCGATGACCACACCCCCCCGCCTCCACCCCATGCTTAAAATAACCAAATCTCTCAACAACCGATTGGTGGACACTATTCTAACTCCACAATTCCCGGAATTTATCCTGTATGCTATTAAAGTCCTTAGATACCCGCCGATACTGAATTTGTCCCCGCCACCTATAAATGAATACCTCCTCTAGCACCTCCCAGCCTTGCTCCATATTCCCCCCCCCCCCCCCCCCCCTAAAAAAATATGCATACATCCACCCAGAACTATCAACATTCAAGACCTAACGTCCTTCCCACTCAGCACTATAATTGTCGGTGGACTAGGACGTGATGACTCCGTACGGAGTACTTCGTACCATATTACCATCTGACAAACTACTTAGCTTAGTGTGCTTACGCCAAGCCAAGCCCTGGACCCTGTTTGTAGGGTCGGATGAAGCTAGATAGATTACAAGGAGAAATACTATGCCAAGCCAGGAGTGGAATCCAATCTACCATGATGTGCTCATTCCTTGAAGTAAGAGATCGGTTACTTCTAGATACATAGGCTGATACTACGTCGATTAGAGCAAAGGATTCGAGTACAGCCACATGAACCCTTATCCCATAGATACTCATAGATAATCCTCAAGGAACCCGCCCGCTATGATTGCATGACGGTAGGATCTAATTGGCCATGTCAGCATATAGCGCCAACTGCGGAGACAGAGATGATGATGAGGTTTTAGAAGGGTGGAAACTACGGCATCAGATTCAGAGATGAACATTGAATAAATACTCTGTACTTAATCAGAATAATCCAATAGCAACCATTGATACCAATCTGCAGGAACGGACCCGTGGTTAGGTTATGCCATCTTGCTTTTGTTCCGGTGCACCCTATGCTGTGCCCCGGAATATCCCATTAATATGGAATGTAGCTGCCTAGCGGGTCAGGCCCATGGTTACATTGAGAATTAGATCAATGGTGGCTCTTCCGGACAGTGAATAGCAGATAGTAGTGACATTTTTAATCTCGGGTTAATTGTCTGTTGACATCAATGAATTGGGTAATCAGTAGAAGTGCTTCCACCGGAGAATCGAGTTCCAATCGGGTGGTATGAGCCTTGAATCGATCGAGTTCATGCAACGCCTTCTAGTACTAAGAGATAGGTGATGTTGGCGCCTCTTAACGCGTGATTGGTGCACACGGATGCGGGGCTCCGAGACTGACGTCATCGCTGGCAGAATGCCAGTAACAACCCAACGATATTATCAGGAAAGGTACTACACAGTAGTAGGAAATGTAGCATCAATTTGGCTTTACGGATAATCGCCACGTAACCCAGTCTATCCGGGACCTAACCTGCCACCCGACTGAGTTCCTGCTAACATAGGCTGAAAACATCGCAGGAAACAATCCTCAGCGATAAAACCATCAGTCTGCTCTTCGTCCCGCAATTTTCCCCTATGCTCAGACTAGTACCTGGGTGGCGCAGGGGGAGCTCCATAGGGAGAATAACCCCGCGTGGCTCCGGCGGAAGACTGTCCGTAACCCTGCTGGCTGGGATGAGGGGAGGCAGCGCCATAGCCACCGTAGGACTGTCCATAACCAGGGGCTGGCGCTTGACCTTGACCCTGAGGGGGGTATGGGGCTTGGCCGTATCCCTGACCGTAGCCCTGACCGTAGCCGCCAGATCCGTGCGATCCTTGCTGAGGCTGGCCATAGCTAGGCGCAGGTCCCTGGTTGTAATATCCGCCCTGGTCATAGGAACCGTACTGGTTGCCGCCCCGGGGAGCCCCAGGAGCCCCAGGAGGCCCGGAAGGAGGCCCAGAAGGGGGAGCCCCAGCTGCAGCATTTCTGCCAGCAGCCTTTTCATCCTTAGTGTCGTATGAGGAATCAATGGCACCGAGCATCAATTTCGCACACTACGTTGGTCAGTTACAAGAAGCTACTATAGCTGGTAGGAATATACATACCCAGAGCTCCCGAGTCAAGTAGACCGGGGGTACAGCGCGAGACATTTCGTCTTGCTCAACCTCAAAGTCTGTCGGTATATTAGCAAACCGCTCTTCCTAGTAATTCTGCACATGCTTACTGGAAGTGCAATCGATCAACGATCCGATGCGCGGATCTTCGTCGAGCGAGGCGAGGAAGTCCCGGGCCTTGGTGTCATTGCCCACCTGCGAGAACTGGAACGAAACCGCACCCTGTCCATATTGAGTCCGAGACACCTCGCTCAGGGCGTAACTGATCGAGCTGGAGACGCTGTCAAGAGGCTCTCCGGCCGGCTGTCCATCGGTGATCGTGATGACAAGGACCGGCTTCTGCAGTTGACCTGTCCGGGCCGGGCCCACAACCATAGGGTCGATGACCTTGCTGCGCAGGCTGGTACCCAAGGGAGTAAGGCCTTGGAAGCGAACACGGGAAATGAGGCGGCCGACATCATCTGCGTTGCGGATTCCATCTCCCTGCTCGGCATTGTTCATGAACCGTACCGAGATGCCGTCTTCGTCGAACGTAGACGCCGCAGCGGCAACAATCTCGATGATCTGTTTCAGCTGCTCCTTTCTGACACCGCGTTCCTCAAACTCAATAGAGCCACTGTCGTCGACGTAAAGAATGACATCGAACAGAGACAGCTTCATAATATCCATAGCCACTTCTTGAGGCACACGGAGTTCGTTCATGAGTTTGTTAACCTTGGCGGGCGCCTCGTTGGCAAGGGTCTGAACCAATCGATCGAGCCGCTCCGGGGGCCAAAATCTTTGCAATTGTTTCTCTTGGATGGTTCCGATCAAGAGCTGTCTGTACGCGCCAAGCTGCTGATCAGTGGCACGGGGAGCGGGAGGCGCACCCCCAGGGGCGCCATATGGCGCTCCCGGTCCTCCAGTCGGCGCACCCTGCTGGGGAGGGCGTCCGGGGCCGCAAGGGTAAGGAGCATTTTGAGGGGGGGCATTCTGAGGAGGGTAAGATGGTCCCTAGAATATGAATCGAGTTAGCCGATCAGTTCCACTATCGGTGAAAGCCAGAATGAAACATGTGTGTAGATAATGCAGAAACAATGCAGACAAGCGGGATATAGTATGTACTTGGGAGAATTGCTGCGGAGGAAATTGTTGTCCAGACGCTCCATAGGGCTGAGATTGCGGCGGGGGAGGCGGAGGTCTGCCATAGCCTTGCTGTGATTGCCCATACTGTCCGGATGGCGCTTCCCTTGCGCCATATGGAGATGGTTGAGAATAGCCCTGCTGCGGCGGTGCCTGGGATGCATAAGGCGACGGGGAGTAAGTCTGAGGAGCCGGAGATTGCGACGTATAACCGGGTGCAGGGGAATAAGCCTGGGGAGCTGGAGATTGCGACGCATAACCAGGCCTAGGGTAACTTGATTGACCAGGATATGCCGACTGGGGAGCCGAATAGGCTGACTGGGGACCCGGAGATGGCGAGGGGACCGGTTTGTTGGGAGGGACCGAGGGAGGCGCATAGGCCTGGTATTGTTGCGACGGCGAGGTGGGATACGGGGACTGCTGGGCTGAACCAGGCCGGAGCTGAGGCGGGTAGCCGTATTGGTTATGATAAGGTCGCGACATGGTGGACGGATGGATGGCGTCCAGATCACCGGCAAGGGAGCGGGGAGGGCAAGAAATAGGAAAATAAGAATGTGACACGGGCGCGAAGAAAAGGATGGAGGGGCAAAAGGGGGGGCAGGTGGAGAGGGAGCTAATCCCTGCTCTCTTTCATTCGAGGAGAGAATCTCACGATGGAGGGAGAGGGTGACCCTGCAGCATGAAGGAAGAGTGGCGCAAACAAAAGGACGGAAGGGAAGTGGAGTCAGCAAACAAAAAAACAAGTCCAGCTTACCGATCCAGCGGATGGCGCAGGGGAGCCTTGGTAAGCCTGATACTGCGGTTGCTGTTGTTGCTGTTGCGCTTGCTGTTGCTGAGTGAAGAGCTGCGTCAGCTCTGGGGAATTCCGGGAAAAAAAAAAAGCGGGCAAGGCAAGCGTGAAGGAAATTGGAGGTGAGGGGCGGGAGGAGTTCACTAAGGATTAGGCTCCGTAGGGCGGACTCACCAATCCACCGGCACCACCTCCAGGCTGCAGTGCCGCAGGAGGACCGCCGGCGTAGCCTGTCGGAGGGGCTCCGGCATACGTGCCCGGCTTGTTCGCGCTCATGTTGGGCGGCGGGTTCTGGCTGTTGGCGATCTTGGATGCGAACTAAAGGACGTGCAGGATGCAGCGGTTAGTTGATGCAGAGTTGGCTAGAGTAGCGGCTGATAGGGAGATAAATGCGAGATATCAATAGCTCTGCGGTGGTTTTGGCACCAGAAAAAAAAAGGAGCTTGGGTGAAGCGGGGCAGGTCCGCGGGGCACCAAGGTTGAAAAACCCAACCAAGAGCGAGAAAAGGGAGAGAACTTACGCCCATGGTCTGAAGGCGCTGACGTAGAACGTGGTCAAGGATGGCAGGGATGAGAGGTGAGGGTAGAGTGACCGTCAAGTCAGCTGGAGGGGAGGATGATGAAGATGGCGTCAAGAGAAGAGGCGGAGTGGAAAGAACTATGGAGTCGTGCCACTATAAAAGCGCAATCAATCTCGATCAAACAGCTTGACCCCCGACCGGGACTAGTCGAGCACGGGATGACGACAGGCGGATTGACTGCTCCACGGACCCACGCCGATACGAACACGACTTCAACCCCTCTATATAGGCAAAGCCATGTATGTCCTCAGCCACTCAGTCTTCGTGGGATGATGCCGACATACGAGATGGAAAATCCTACAAGAACGGCGTCTTCCACGGTACCGAGAATACACGAAGCTACTTCCCACGTCCTCAACAGCTCAGCCACAATTTCGATCGGTACCATATGGCAACGGTTTATATTGGAGAAGGAATATTGGAAGAAAGGTATCTGAGGAACTCCGGTTCCCTCCAAAGAGTAGCCAGCAGGTTTATAATGGGGATAGTCCCCGCCAGGGTGTTTCCGTAGGGCTGATTCCATTGATCCTTCCAACCGTAAGACTCGCCCAAAGATGGCTGCTCTGCGTTAAGGCCCAGTAGCAGGTAGCAATGCCACCTGGCAGTGAACCTCTTATCGTAAAGACCAGAATGGCAACAGCTGACCGGGTGTTGCACCTGATAGCCTGATATGACTACAGACTGACCTCACAGCCACTCCAGGGAGTCGTCATGGTCCATCCCAGCTGACATCGGGCTGTTCTTTCGGGCTATGATCTTCTCAGTGCTTGGAGTACACTTGGGGGTTCCTTTGACGTGCCTCTGCATGCAGTAGTCGGGGTTAAGGTTGGGCGATGGAGGGTCTGCCGAATCAAAGAGGGGCGCATTGTGTGTGGGACGCAAACATGATGCACGGATCACGCAGGCCATCTCCAGCTAGCCAAGCTGGCTGTCTGGCGCAGACGAGATCGACAGGGCCTAGTAGACTAGTTCCTACTGTATATACCCCAGAAATCACATCACAAAGCTTCTAGAGCGCTCCGTAAAGATAAACATAAAAAAGACCGGTAAACTTGCAATGAAAGACAAAATCCTCCCAAAGCCACTGATGTCATGCATACCAACCAGGATGCATAAAACTTCAAAACACCCGCGACCACCAGAGAAATCCCCGGAACACAAAGCTGCCTCACACTCACCCTGACAAAAACCGCTTTGTGCTGTTCTTCATCCTTTCCGAGTCTCACTTTCCGTCAGTGTTACTTCACCCCTTCCTGACGACCTGGTAACGTGGTTTCCAGCCGGTCACCAGTCGGTATCATCATTACCCCTTGCACGGGCAATACATACCAGACGCCTGGTTCCTGACCCCTTTCAGAAAGCTCACCTCATTCTTCGAATACCCCGGACGATGTTCTTTTCTTCACCTCCGCTCGATCTTCGCCTATCTTCTGTCTTTCCCCCAGCCGACTGAACCCATCAACATCCCAAATCAACTACCAACAAGTACGTACGTCGCACATTCCCAACCAACCAAGCCCCTCCTAACCTTCCCAGACCTGCTCCCAACAGAACTCAACCCCCAAAACAAGAATGCCGCAAGCCCAACCCGAAACCCTCCTGCGGGTGGGAATCCTCACCGCAGACGAAGGCGCCAAAGCCATCCAAACCATCTACCTCCCAGCCCTACATGCCCTCCCGGACTTATTCCAAGTGATATCCATCTACGATGGATCCAAGCAGCCCTGTTCCTACGAGAACAACCAAACCAACAGCGTCTGCAACGAAAACACCAAACTCAACGGCCATGCCAACCACACCAACGGCACCACCATGCCCCGATCCCCAACCTCCCACTCCATCCTCACCGATCCAACCATCACCCTAATCCTCAACTTCATGCCCAATGAATACCACGAAACCTACACCATCGCCGCCCTCGCCGCCGGCAAACACGTCATGGTCGAAACCCCACTGAGCCTGAGCATCCCCAGCGCAAAACGCATCCTCGAAGCGGAGAGAAGCTCCCCCAACGGCTCGAAAGTCTTCGTGGCCTGCGCTCGTCGCTACGCACCCAGCATCCAATCCGTCTTTCTTCGGGAAGTAGCCTCCCTGGATCGGATTTACTACGCCCGGTGTAGGAATATCGCCGGCCCGAGTACCGCTCATACGGCTACTGCGCCGAGGAAGAAGGTGTGGAAAGAGGTGCAGTATCCTGCTTTTTCGATGAATAAGGGAGAGGGTGGGAAGAAGGAGGAGAGGCCTGAGCTATTGCGCTCCCTTCTTAATGAAGTTTTCCTTGGTCAGGACTTGAGCAAGGAGCGTATCGCGATGTGTGAATTCCTCGCCTCGTTGGGATGTCATGATTTAGCTCTCATGCGGGATACATTGGGGTATCCGGACGCGGTGTCGAGTATTTCGGTCAACGAACCGTACTACTCCGCTGTATTCCATTACTATAGTGGTGGTCGAGACGCACATCCGTTCACGTTGATGTATGAGACGGGTACGGATGCGGTGCCGAGGTGTGATGCCCATCTTGCGATCTACGGGGATACCAAGACGGTGAGTGTGCATTACGGACTACCGTATGGAAGAAAGCAGGGGGTGAGGGTTGTGGTGGAGACGGCAGATGAGAATGGGGAGATGAAGAAGACCGAGACGGTGAGTGGCTGGGAGGAGAGCTATGCGGAGGAGTTGAAGACGTTGCATAAGTATTTGACTACGGAGGGGAAGGTGCAGGTGAGAACGACGGCGCGGGATGCCATGCAGGATCTGAAGCTGTTTCAGACCATCTTTGAGCAGTATGATCGGCAGTGTGGGACTATTCGGACTCCGTTGGGTTAGGTGATTCACGGTGGTTCTTCGCTGGGATGGTTGCTTATGGAGTTATGGCTGGCTTTATTGCTATTTTCATGATCGGAGGGTAATGGAACAGGACAGCACAGCACAGCACAGGGCCAGTTAGGTGACGGTCTCATCAGTTATTATTTATGACCAGATTGCTTCCAAGGAGGCCGTTCATTCATCGCATCAGATTAGCCCGACATTGAATGAAATTTCTACATGCTTTGTGCAACAACAAACTGGGGTGGTATATCCTGCTAGCAAATGCAAGACGTGTCTCATGAATGGAGAAATGACAGCTATAATGCTATAGCTAAGAGTATGCATCTACCGCTTCCCCTTCTTCTTTTTCTTCGAGCTGGCTCCTCCCCCGCCTTGAGACTTTTGCGGTTGGCTGGGCACAGCGGCCGATTCCTCGGCCTTCTCATGCACCACACCACCCTGTGTCCGCTCGGCGGCGCGCTGCTTGCCCTTCCGGCCCTTGGGGCGGTAGCTGGAGCGGTCGCGGAGAGGAAGCCAGCGTTCTGGGTCGGCAGTCTTGCTGGGATCGTAGTCCTTAGGCAGACGCGACTTGCGAACGCGCTTGGTGACACGGTTATCTTTGTTGGCGCGGCGTTTCCGGGCACCGGCCATGGCCGCTGCGGCGGCAGCATTGGCTGAGGAGGACGGGGAGATGCCGGCGGATTCGAGGGAGGCGACGTTGACGCCAGAGATCAGGTCCGCGACGGATGGGAGACTGTCCACCTGGGCTTGGACCTTGGAGTAATCGAGCGTCGCCTGGGAAGCGACGTAGCCGGCAACGGCAAACTGATCATTCGTGTCTTTCTGATAGAGGGATTTGAAGAGGTCGCCGGCCGTGACCAGGTCCGAGCGATCGGAGGAATGCAACAAGGATGCACCCGCGGCACGGAGCAATGAGGCTGGGGGCTCAGCCTGGCTCTGCCAGTATGTCGCGGCCTTGGCGAGTTCGCCTCTGATCTGGACTTTGCGGCCTTCAAGTTTGTACAGAGAAACCAAAATGCTCAATAGACCGGGGTTGAAGCGGACTTCCTTGTCTTGTTCGGAGATGGACTCATCGAGCAACTCGAGGCTTCGTTCCAGCGTGGTGATTGCGGACGTCGTGTTGCCGGCACTCACGTAGAGCTGGACGGCCGTGAGGGCCAAGCCAAGGTCCTTGGGCCGGTTGTCGAGCGCAGCCAGTATCGACTTCAAGGCCTTCGTGCCCGTTTCCCCGCGCGCGTGAGCCGCAGCGTTGTAGACTGATAGCAGGTTGACACGGGGTTCCGTCGAGGGGTAGGCAGCTTGAGCAAGAGCCTTGGATGTGGAGCGGATGATGCCATCGTATTTTCGAACGAGAAGATCTGCCGAGTGCGAGTTCCCCGTCGCGATATTATCTTGGTACTCGAAGAGCTTGTCGTTGTCAGCAGAATCGGGGGTCTCGTGTAGGGCCTTGTATAGAGCGAAAGGGTTGGTGGTGGCGCCGCGAGCAAGGGTGATGTTGGTTTGCGCGATCTTTCTCGTCGAGAGCTCGGGGATACTGCTGGCGCTGTGAGCTTCAACATCAAGGTAGGGTTCTGGGGCAATCATACTCTCCAACGGAAATTTCCTCCAGAACAGACTGAGCCTCCTCCGACTTGCCTTGGCGGAGCAAAACATACAACTGCTGCACAGCGATCGGTAAGAGCTCCGCAGCTCTATCTTCGGGTGTGAGGTCCTCCGACGTCCGGCAGAGCTCTGTACAAAGTTGTTAGCGGTCGATCTCGTGTGCCCGGAGCTGACCACTCGAACCTTTTGCCCGCTTCAGCAGCACTTCTCCCTGTTGGAACTCTCCCTTGGCAATGCTCAAGCAAGCCGCATTGTACACTGTCTCAAACGCCTCCAGATCATCCCGCGTCGGCCTGTTGTGGCGGACGAACTCGGGGTATCCCTTCCACTGTAGCTGTGCATCCGTGGCCCACGAGTTGATGCGCAAATCGTTCTCTTCGTTGTGCAAGGACGTCTCGCCTTTTGACAGTTGTTCGTAGATCTCGGCTGCGCGACGGAACTTCTCTGAACGATAGCTCTTAGGAGTGATGAATGTTAGGAACAGCCCGGCGATGGCAACAGATCTCCAGAAGTGGGGTTGGGGAAATAGCATACAGCCTGAGCTTCCAGATGAAGTGCACCTCTCTCACCAGCCAAGCCGGATACCACCTCAATTGCCGGTTCCAGCTGACCACATTTGTACAGTGCGTAAGCATATTCCAGCGCCGCTCTCTTCTTCAAGCCATCTCCGCCTTCTTCGAACACTCGCAGGCAGTCATCGTAGCGGTCGAGCTTCAGCAAGGCAACCGCCTTAGCGTGCTGGGCATGGAGGTCGGACTTGGACTTGGCCAAGGCGGCGTTGGAGGACTGGAGAACTTCCTCGTGGTCGTCAATGGATGCCCGTTGCAACAACGAGCTCAGTGACTGCGCAGCCATGGCGGAGGTGTCAAATGGCGGGAGGCGGGTCCGGATGAGTGGCCCGGGGAGGGCTCGGAGATGAATGAAAATTAAGAACTAGTTACGCAAAGAGGCTCATCCAGCAAAGGGTGAGGAAATATGCAGGTATGGATTGACCGAGGGTGAACATCGAGGTGGCCAGACCGAGCTGGAGGCCATGTGTGCGGGATGAGATATTTCCCCATTGGGGAACTCTGCGCCAGTGGTCGCGGCGCTCCCCGTAGCCCGGTCTGCCATGTGACTTGCTATTGTGGATTGTCTTTCTACCCGTAGATAGATGCTTGGGTATTGGATTGTTCAATAATCGCCGTGGCTCTACACCATACCACCTTGATCATCTAGTGGGCGTTCTAGATTGTTGACTTATTTTGCTTACATTCTCTGCCCCTTGCCTATAGCGCCACGGCAGTCTTCGGTTAGTTATTTATATCCGGGAAGCGTTTTGTAGGATGCAGGGGGCAGATTGCACCGAGACAGGCAGCAAAGCACCTGACATAATACTGATGTTTCTAGATGGAGGGCGATGAAGCCAGAGATGCAGACATGGTGGGATGTGTCTGCCTACTGGAACCGGTACATGGCTTCAACGGTAGGTGGACAGACTCAGGCTCGTGATGCAAGCCACTATATTTCTGTGCGACCCTAGTACATCTATGATTATCAGCAGCCAATCCCAGGGACATTGTCTCTCGCGAACAGGTCCGATGAGAAGCGATACCGGCTAACCAAGCGCTTTATCGTAATTGGCCGTGGGAAATTAAAGCGATCACATAATCCGGTGCTAAGTCGATGGCGAAGAAGAGACACCACGGACGCCGGAAAAAGAAACAGACTGCCAGTGGCTCGCAGAGGAAGAAATTAAGTCCCTGATGGAGTCGACGCGTGGTCGGACTGTCTTTAGAAAGGGTAACTGGCAGGTGGTAGTGTATAGTAACCATGATCCTGTTGAGGTGCACCCTCTTCCTCGATGAGAGAACCCATTGCACCCCCGCTAGACAGGAGAGTGGTCAGTTATGTAGGACTTATCTAAGAGGCTGACACGCCACTGGTAGGTACTCGTCCTTTGGTTATCTATCATGAGACGCAGCCAAGCGCCTCGCCTGCAGCCGTCGTCATCCAGCGGTCGCCCCGCCGCCCGTTGGAACCGTTCGCCCCGAGCGGAATGCGCGTCAAGGGGCGGTTGTAACTTGTAGTACCAGCTGGCGTCGCAGTGGTTGTCCCGCGGATGGCGCAATGGGACGTGATGGATCGGTGTTACCCTGTTGCAGTGACCCTGGTGTCCCTGGGTTCCCTTGGCCACCTGGAGATGTTGGGGGATATTCCGTACTCCGTAGATAGGGGAGAATGCGACAGGACCCCTAACGCAACCCTGGGGAGACGGACTGTCACCTCGAGAGCCAGCCAGCGGACTAAAATCTCCTCGCCAAGTCTGAATGGCCGATCGGCCCCTGGTGGACACGGTGGCTGCCCCAGTGAGCAGGTGTGCCCTGATGGCCAGACCGGCTCTCATTCGCGACCGCAACTGGATCGGGGCTCCATCCATGGCTCCAAAAGGTTCCAAGGGCATGGCCGATCCCTGGCTGCCCTCAAGTGCACTGGCTGGTCGCCATTCTCCGCTGGCTCTTGATTCGCGTCGTCCCAGGTCCGATCCGACCATTTTCAAGCCGTGCCAGTGCTTGTTTTCTGTCGCTGTGGTGTCCAGGGCCCCGTTGATCGCCTATCAACCTTCCCTTTCAACCCGCTCGATTGACGCTGTCGCTTGCCCTCTGTCCTGGCCTTCGTCATTCCTTTCCCCGTTCCTTTCCCCATCCTTGGGGTCCAGAGACCTTCTGCTGTTCATCATTTTATTCCTTGGGTTCCCCTCACTCTCCTTTGCCGTCAATCCTCCGCCTTCTCCTGCCTTGCGCAGCGCCCGAGTGTCACCTTTTCCGGTGCCTACCTTCTCGTCCCTCTGCTGAAGTGCTCGAGATGGTCTTGCCCTGCTAGTACGACACCTCAGATTATTGTCGTACTTGATCCACCCAAAGAAGACCGTTCGACGAGACAAACCCCCGATGTGGGCAAAGACTGCAGAGAAGCCCCGATCCTCAATGGGGAGGCGAAAGCTGTTGCGCTTCGTTGTCGTCGGCTGTCTGGTGACCACCTTCACGATTTTCCTATGGCCTCAAGCGGAGGTCCCCCGCGTCACCACCCAAACCGTCTCCAACATTACCCTGACCGCAGATGTCGACTGCGAACCGGACTTCGATGTCCTCCATCGCCTCGACGTTCAGAAACTCGCTCAATATGTGCGACGCGAAGTTGTCGCCGTTCAATCCCCCACCAACGTCTTGCCGCTGTCGCAACGCCTCCAAGTTCCCTTGTTCCCACAAAAAGCCCAGGACGATCAACAATACCTGTCGGAAAAACCACTACATGATGACTGCTTAATACCGCAACCGGTGTCGGTCCAGGTTCCTCCGCCCCCGAAACGTGCGGATGCGTCCCACGTTGATTTTGGTGTCGCTACAACATTGGAACGGCTGAATGACTCGTTGGACGCGTTCTCGCATTGGGCCAGCAACAATAATGCCCATATCTTCGCCCTAATTGAGCCAGACAACAGAGTGAACGAGGTGTTATTGAAGGCGAATAGGCTTGGGATTAATCTGTCGGTGGAGGAGTCGAGCGAAGAGTACCAGCGTCGGTATTTCTCGCTGGTACCTCACCTGGCTAAGAATATGCGGCCCGAAACGAGATGGTCTTGTGTCATGGATGACGATACCTTCTTCCTCTCGATGCCGGAGTTGCTGAAGGGGCTCAGCGAGTATGATGATACGAAGCCAATGTATGTCGGGGGGCTGTCCGAAAGCATCCCTCAGGTGGGATTGTTCGGGTTGATGGGATTCGGAGGCGCGGGCGTCTTCTTGACTCGACCTCTAATTCAAGAACTGAGCCGGCCTGATGTTTTCGAGGACTGTCAGAGGATGGATGTCACTGGCGATCGTAGGATCTCTCTCTGCATCTATCAGTACACCAGCGTTCGCTTGACCATCGATCACCGCCTGCACCAGCTCGATATGAGGGGCGATGTGTCCGGCTTCTTCGAGGCAGAACGACCCCCTCCGCTATCGGTGCATCACTGGAAGTCGTGGTTCCACGCCGACATGGCCAAGGCGAGCCTTGTCAGCAACGTCTGCGGTGATTCTTGCCTCTTGCGTCAGTGGCATTTTGGGGATGGGTGGATCCTCACCAACGGCTTCTCCGTGGTCAAGTACAGCACGGAAAAGAAGCCAGGCGACCGCTCAATGGAGCTCACGTGGGACAGCGACAACGGGGCGGTCTTTGAGTCGTATCTGCACGAGCTCGGCCCTCTCCGTCTCAAGGACGAGGGAAAGATCAGCTACCTGCATGAGGACGCCATCTCGGACGGCGACCGAGTCCGGCAATGGTACGTCCATCGGGATCCGGAGAAGGGCGACCAGGTCCTGGAGGTGATCTGGCGCACCGGCTAGACTGTCGCCAAGCTGGCAACCCCCGCTTCTAATATACCTTTCATTTCTCTTTATCCTCACTCGATTCTACGTCTTCATTTGCCTGGTCCACTCGGATCTGGACAGGCCCCGACCCTCTCACACCAGCCACGTTTATAATTTTTACGGCGCATAGATCATGAAACTTGATTGTTTAGCTTGGGATGATATCAACTCGTGCGATACAGGTACATAGTCTGGGGTGTTCTTCCATACCACTTGTACATTTAACCTGAGGGCCCGGTTCTGTTCGTTGTATAGCACAGTTAGACTGAATGAAATGTTTTGCTTGTCGTGCCGATCCCGGAATTTGTAGTGGAGATGGAATTCATATGGGCTACACTCGAACAGCAACTCAAGGCTATCTCAGAATAGTCACTTTACAATCACATGCATGGTTTCATCACCTATATACAGGCATCCATGACATCGCTATGTATCCTTCGGCGAGACAAATGGTATCATAAATAGTCAATCGTAATAAACTCAAAATATATCATGCCAGCATCATCGTCTCACATCACCCCTAGTTCAAGAGACTACCGTCCGGGAATTGTACCTGTGTAGGTGGTAGAAGTTGCGACAGGGGCTCTCCCACCTCCGTCTCCGATTCATGAAGATCCTGATTCTCCGGCACGGAAGCCACGGGCAGTCCGCTTTCGCCTCCCCAGGACGCAGTAGAGGGTGGCAGCGGGAGGAAGTTGCTCATTGACGTGGGACTGGTGAAATCTAGGGCGCCTTTACACCGTTCTAGCAATATGGGAAAGAGGTAAGACTGAGAACCGCGGATGCGGGATAGCGTGCTAAGAATTCCCCATAGAAGTTCGCGGGGGTCAATGGCTACCTCCGTAAGACGGTGCGCGGCTTTGGAATTAAGCGAGCGGGAGACGTCCGCCACTGACGAGCCTAGATCAAACAACTTCTGTTCCTGGGGGGGACCGTCAGCGGATGGCATTGACAATTATCCTCGTGGAGTTCAGGTACTGACCATTCCAATGCCGTGAGCATCAACGGCTCCCTGAGATGCAGCACCAATGACATTCATAACGGCTTTGCCGACCAACACGGGCAGATGAAAGGGAAGGACCGCCTCATCGCGAGACCCCGGCTGAGTGGCGCGAGTCATGGAGAGTTTCCACATTACTGTCTGTAGCCATTGCTGGGTGATGAGGATGTCGACCTTTTGGATTTCAGAAACTCCATCCACCGAAATCGCATTACAGAGACTGGACTGGATAGCAGCCGTAGGTGGCATTTCAGGTGAACCATCCATGCCTCCTGCAGAGACCCAGTCGTACAGGTTGACAGTCAGTTTCTCGAAGATGCTGATGAGGTTGATGAATCCGTATGCTAGAATAGGGTCCTCCGAGCAGAGGACTTGGGGCTTCCGGATAGAGTTGCGCAGCATGACCGGCTTCGCTTGTTGCAGTGCATAGCCCCTGGATTATATTAGATCGGGTTGATCAAGGAATGCGAGGCAGTTGCCTACCTTTCAGTGACGAACAGTAACCAGAAAACTCTTCGTCGTTCCTCTGCCTCTTCAACACTCAGTTCCGCATAACTAGATTCCCGGTGAAGGGCCAGTGTAAAGACCATGGAGGTAGCTTGACAGAGATAGAACCATGCATGGTCCTGTTTGTCCAGGTTACCATACGAAGCGAACAGGAAGAATGATGTAAGGAGGCTCTCTATGTTCATTCCATCTACCGGGTCGCAATCTTTCCTTGCGCGTACCGCTTCAGCCAGCAAGTCCTCCCCGGACATCCAGGAATGCCCGTCGATCCCCGCTTGAAGGTGTGAAGGATCAGGAACAGACGCTGTGCCATCTAGCTTGAGCTGAATGTGCGTGGCTGCGCACAGAGCCACCAAGAACGCATACCGTTGGGGTGATAATCGTTCGGGTTGATGGCAGTCTTGTTGAAGCTCTTCTTGCCGCACTACTGGCATAATAGGGAACAGATACTTTAAGTATACGTTCACATGAGCTAGAAGCACCGGCGGGGACAGGCGTCGTGCATATGGTCGCACTAATGCCGTGCTAGAATCTGATAATGAGTTGGTCGAATCCGGAGACGAGACTAGCTCTGGCGAGGGAAGCTGGGCAAAGGCCTCGGGAACGTCTTGGGGTAAATATTGAGCATCTGCCACTGTGAAAGGGGGCGATGTCGGAGAACCCAACGGATAGCTCACCCCATCTGCGGGCCATTGTTTATTGAGGGGATTTTGAGACGGATTCTGGTAGTATTGGTTTTGTTGTCGCGATACCAGCGGATGGATAGGCGCAAGTGGATATAGCGTGCGGAACTTGGGACCTTTGCGCCGGAGCACATCGCTGTAGGAACAGGAGAGAAGAAGGCGCCGACATTTGTCGCAGGGAAGCTCTCGGGAACATTTTATCTTCCGCCGGCGACAGTTATCGCAGGCTTGTTTGGGGGCTTTCTGCTTGGTGGGGGAAGGATGTGAGTCCATTTGTATGCGGAGGCAAGATTGACTCCCGTCAGAAGTCAGCAGTAGCAGCGGCAGTGGTGCGAGACTCGGGAGACTTCATTGTATTCAGATAAGAGAGATACTTGCGGGGCAAGATTCGGTGGTCATCAAGGCCATAAGGTGCGTAGTCACCCAGGATCATGCGATTGCTGAAGGAGGGGAAGGCGAAGGAAAGAAATCTGGGGAATGGTAGCGGGGAAGCGACACAGAGAGAAACTCGGCAAGGCCAGGCTACCCGGACCCCGCGGTATGGGCCACCCCGTCAACTTACTACGACTGGTCTGTTAATTTCGGCCCGTTGTTCGAGCCAGAGCAGGTATCAACCAGCTGAAGCTACGGACTAGTAGTCCTTTAGTCCTTCCTGACCCAGCAAGTGGATCCTCCACCCGAGCAATGACGCGGGCATACTCAGCCGAGAAAGAGGCCGTGTTCTTGAGCTGGTACTCCGTAGAGCAGCGTAGGCTGGAGGCTTGACAGCGGCTCCCAGATTCATCATAAGTGACACTGTCTCTCCTATCAAGCAGATAATCTGATCCATCCAGGAACTCAAGTACGAGTGGTGAGAGTGTATCGTGAGCTTGCGTCGGCCTGAAGGATCAATCATTCGACCAAGGTATCCATGCGCTATTTTCGGAGACTCAACATCCCTGCACACCACATTGTCCTTGTGTTTTCATGTGCCAAAAGCTGACAGGTTCAGCAATCGCTGACGAGGGGAGTTATGCTAATGACGGTCCGAAGGAGCTTTCACGTAGCACTGGTGGACAGCATCTTACTCGGGAAGCCGAGAAATGAGAATATGAATATCAGAGCCATTAAATGCCTCGCATCTAAAGGACCCTGGTAGGGGAATCACTCATGAATCATCTTCATTCGTCCCCGCCTTTGCGGCCTAGGTCCGCCTAGGTCCGATGTCGCTTCGCGTCACTCATGGCCTTGGATCAAAATTGAGTGTCTCTGAAATTCAAGCAATGACAAGTGTGTGTTGACTGTAGTATACTGTGGTATATTTAGGGGTTTCTTCACCGGCAGCATTCTGGGGAAGGTGCCAACAACACGGAGTGGGCGCGCGGTGGAATGGAGCACAGGAATCGTCACAGCCGAAGGCCGAACTGAGGGGGTCTCGGTGATTTATCGGGCATGGAGCCAATCAGCGGGCGCTCATCATCTGATCGTCTGGCTGCCAGTCCCTTCAGGCATCAATACGGTACCGGACGGTATCCACTCCGGCTTCCCCGACGCGGCCAAACCATCGAATCCCCAGGGCTCCCCGCCAACTGGAGTGGATGCTTCTCCAGTTCTCCATGGTCTCGCACTTGGCATAAGGTTGCTGCATGGTCCTCAACATTATCAATCAGGTAGGTCCTTCGCTGTATCCTCTCCCCATTCTATCCTCTTCTTCGGTCTTGCTGAACTCAATCCCGTCACTAGCTCCATCTATTCTCCGCAATCTAGAAAATGCAGGCCCGTCTGCCCCTTCCACGTCGGGAATTCACCGGGGGAATGATGTGTTCTTCAGCTCGGTCGCACAACATTAGGTCCAGATGCAAGTGATATCATTATCGACCTGAACCAGGAAACAACTATAAAGACCCCAGTGAAGGCGTTTCGATCATGACTGAATGTTAGCTGCGCCATTGCCCATCATCAATAACGCGACCGTGCCTTTGGCCTTTCCAAGATAGCCATGGTCAAGTTGACGGATCTCCTGGCCAGCACATGGCTTATACCTCTGGCTTCCGGAGCGAGCCAATCGTTTTTAACTAGTACAACCACTTCACAACCGCAATTTACCATTCCCGCTTCTGCAGATGTCGGGGCGCAGCTGATTGCCAACATCGACGATCCCCAGGCTGTCAACGCGCAGTCGGCCTGTCCAGGTTACAAGGCTTCAAATGTCCAGCATAGCCCGCGAGGATTTTCTGCCAGCCTACAGCTCGCGGGCAAGCCATGCAACGTCTATGGTACGGATATTGATTCATTGGCCTTGTCTGTGGAGTATCAGGACTCGAATCGCCTGAATATCCAGATTCTCCCCACCTATGTCGATGCATCCAACGCTTCATGGTACCTTCTTTCGGAAACACTGGTTCCTAGACCAAAAGCTTCCTCGAATGCATCTGTCTCACAGAGTGACTTTCTCGTATCGTGGTCCAACGAGCCGTCTTTCAACTTCAAAGTGGTCCGGAAGGCTACCGGCGATGTTCTTTTTGACACAGAAGGTACTGTGTTGGTATACGAAGATCAGTTCATCGAATTTGTGACAGCTCTGCCGGATGAATACAACTTGTATGGCCTGGGAGAGCACATCACACAGCTTCGTCTCCATAGAAATTCCAACCTCACTATATATGCCTCGGACGATGGAACCCCTCTTGATAGGTAGGTGCTCACAGTCCGTCTTTTTAGTTTGCCACTAACATCCCCCCTTTTTAGCAACATCTACGGTCAGCATCCATTCTATCTGGATACAAGATATTACAAGGTGGATGCGCAGAATGGGACTCATATCCCAGTCAAGAGCAGCGAGGCTGATGCATCGCAAGAATATGTGTCGTCATCCCATGGAGTGTTCTTGAGAAATGCTCATGGACTGGAGATCCTTTTGCGGCCCCAGAAATTGATATGGCGGACCCTAGGCGGAGGGATTGATCTGACATTCTACTCGGGTCCAACTCAGGCCGATGTCACCAGGCAATATCTCACCAGCACTGTGGGACTACCGGCTATGCAACAATACAGCACTCTTGGCTTTCATCAATGTCGTTGGGGCTACAACAACTGGTCCGAACTCGCAGACGTTGTTGCTAACTTTGAGAAGTTTGAAATTCCCTTGGAATATATCTGGTGCGTATTGTATACCCTATCGGGCCGAATTTTACCCTGACGAATCCTCTAGGACGGACATTGACTATATGCTTGGATACCGCAATTTTGAAAATGATCCGAACCGATTTTCCTACAGCGAAGGCGAGGAGTTTCTCAACGACCTACATGACAGTGGACGTTATTATGTGCCCATCGTTGACTCGGCACTCTACATTCCAAATCCGGAAAATGCGTCTGATGCGTAAGTTTGCTCTCTCCCCTCATGTCATTTCTTCGGGTGTTTACACAGCTATAGGTACCCTACTTATGATAGAGGTGCTGCGGATGATGTTTTCCTCAAAAACCCCGATGGTAGCCTCTACATTGGGGCTGTCTGGCCGGGATACACTGTCTTCCCTGATTGGCATCATCCCAAGGCGGTCGACTATTGGACAAACGAGCTTGTCATCTGGTCAAAGAAGGTGGCGTTCGATGGGGTGTGGTATGACATGTCTGAAGTTTCCTCCTTCTGCGTCGGAAGCTGCGGAAGCGGAAATTTGACACTGAACCCTGCTCACCCACCGTTTCTGCTGCCTGGTGAGCCGGGCGATATCATATATGACTACCCGGAGGCGTTCAACATTACCAATGCTACAGAGGCGGCATCCGCGTCGGCGGGCGCTGCTAGTCAGGCCGCGGCAACCGCGACAACCACGTCGACTTCGGTATCATACCTGCGGACGACGCCCACGCCTGGTGTCCGTAATGTTGAGCACCCACCCTACGTGATCAATCATGATCAGGAAGGTCATGATCTCAGCGTCCATGCGGTCTCACCGAATGCGACCCATGTCGATGGCGTTGAGGACTATGATGTGCATAGTACTTTTGGCCACCAGGGGCTGAACGCTACCTATCAAGCTTTGCTCGAGGTCTGGTCTCATCAGCGGCGGCCGTTCATCATTGGCCGCTCGACCTTTGCTGGCTCAGGAAAATGGGCAGGCCACTGGGGCGGCGACAACTATTCCAAGTGGTGGTCCATGTACTATTCCATCTCGCAAGCTCTCTCGTTTCAACTGTTTGGCATCCCGATGTTCGGTGCCGACACCTGCGGTTTCACTGGAAACAGCGATGAGGAGCTCTGCAATCGCTGGATGCAACTGTCGGCATTCTTCCCATTTTACCGCAATCATAATGAGCTCTCTACCATCCCACAGGAGCCCTATCGATGGGCCTCGGTCATTGAGGCAAGCAAGACCGCGATGAGGATTCGTTACGCCATCCTGCCTTACTTCTATACGTTGCTTGACCTAGCCCACACCACTGGATCCACCGTCATGCGTGCGCTTGCCTGGGAGTTCCCCAACGATCCCACCTTGGCATCTGTTGAGACCCAATTCCTCCTTGGCCCGTCGATCATGGTGATCCCGGTCCTGGAGCCTCAGGCTGATACTGTCAAGGGCGTGTTCCCGGGTGTCGGTCATGGCGAAGTGTGGTACGACTGGTACACACAGACTGCCGTTGATGCCAAGCCCGGGGTTAACACGACCATTCCGGCGCCATTGGGCCATATTCCGGTATATGTTCGGGGCGGCAGCGTCCTGCCGATGCAAGAGCCGGCATTGACCACGCGTGAGACCCGGCAGACTCCTTGGGCTTTGCTGACCGCGCTGGGAAGTAATGGAACCGCATCGGGGCAACTTTACCTCGATGATGGGGAGAGCGTCTACCCCAATGCAACGCTCCATGTGAATTTCACAGCATCGCAGTCGAGCCTGCGGTCCTCGGCACGGGGGACATGGCACGAGCGCAACCCGCTTGCAAATGTGACGGTGCTTGGTGTGAGCAAGGAGCCCTCGGCTGTGACTCTGAACGGGCAGCGGGTGTCGCCAGGGTCGATCGGATATAACTCGACATCACAAGTCCTATTTGTAGGGGGCCTGCAGAACCTGACGGCGGGTGGAGCATGGGCGAAGAACTGGGTGTTGGAATGGTAGTGTCAGCCACGAGCCGGTTGCGCACGAACCATATGGGATCTGCGAATCACTACTGCAAGGTAGCTTTCTGTGTAGAATTAAGTTTCCTTTCAGCCTTGATCCACTTCACCGCCAGCCCAGGTCATCCTGCATGGCTATTTTCAGTAACCGTGTACGAGGACTTCAGACTCGACCAGGTCGAACAATGTCTCACTGTCCCCTCCTGGACTCTTGCGTGGTACAATTGCCAAGCCGGCGACGGGGCCTCAGTCATCCAGTGGTGGCCTGGTCTGCTTGCCGGTGTCAGTTTCCCACCTTCTCGTCCGTCCAGTTCATCAAGACATCCATCCACATCCAGCTGGCGGTTGGGCATCCATCCAACCAGCGGTCTAGTATTCCCTCGGCGTCGGGAGTGTGCAGGCGATCGCTAAGAATAGACTGCTTGAGATCGAACCCATCGAACAGCCATCACGAGACAAGTGACAAATCACATTGTGCTGTCGGCCATGCTGAACTGGGCGGACGCTGACCTGCTCTGACCAGTGCATCGCTATAAATTCCATCGTCTCGCGGATAGAATGCTCTTGCCTCTCTCAGAACCAAAACCTTGGCGGTTCAGTCAAGACCAATGAAGATCATCGTGGTCCTGCTTGCTTTTGCGGCTGCGACTCTCGCAGCCACGCCCGCCGAATGGCGCTCGCAGTCCATATATTTCCTACTCACCGACCGATTTGCCCGGACGGACAATTCTACCACTGCACCCTGTGATACCAGTGCCCGGGTTAGTCATGGCATGACCAAGAACACTCGACAAGTGCTGACGGAACTAGCAATACTGCGGTGGAACATGGCAGGGTATCATTAATCAGGTTGGTCGATTCATTCTGCAGCTCTACTGCGTCGATGCATGCTCAAGGTCTAACAGCAGTAGCTTGACTACATCCAAGGCATGGGCTTTACAGCTATCTGGATTACCCCAGTAACAGCACAGATTCCCCAGGACACCGGATATGGAGAGGCCTACCATGGGTATTGGCAGCAGAACGCGTGAGTCGTTACCTACTACCCGGGGTTATCTATCTCATCATGTATGCAGATACGCTATCAATTCCCATTATGGCACAGAAAGCGATCTCAAGGCGCTGGCCTCGGCTCTCCACGCGCGAGGGATGTACCTCATGGTTGACGTGGTTGCCAACCACATGGTATGTACCTGGGCCCTGGCGTGCATAATGTCACCATTGACGCCGTATAGGGCCACAATGGTACGGGCAGCTCTGTGGACTACAGTGCCTTTAGGCCATTTGACGCGGAGGACTTCTTCCATCGCCTCTGTTTTATTTCCAACTATAACAATCAGACAAACGTCGAAGACTGCTGGCTAGGCGATAACACGGTCTCCTTGCCAGATTTGAACACAACTCGTCCTGAGGTCAAAACCATGTGGTATGACTGGGTTAAGTCTCTTGTCTCCAACTACTCCGGTATGCCATTCTTCCTTATACAGTCTATCTCCACTACGTCAGGCTAATAGACACCCAGTCGATGGCCTTCGCGTAGACACAGTCAAGCACGTCCAAAAAGACTTTTGGCCAGACTACAACAACGCCGCAGGGGTATACTGCATCGGAGAGGTCTTTGATGGCGATCCGGCATACACTTGCCCTTACCAGAACTACCTCGATGGGGTTCTCAACTATCCCATGTAAGCCTCCCCTTGTCCCCAAGAATGCGAGCCAACCACCCCAGGTACTACCCACTCCTCCGAGCGTTCAAAAATAGCTCTGGCAGCATAAGCGACCTCTACAACATGATCAACACTGTAAAGTCTGAATGCAATGACTCCACCCTTCTGGGGACTTTTATCGAGAACCATGACAACCCCCGGTTTGCCAAGTAAGCATCCTCCTTCACATTTCTAGTACAAGAACTCACCCCAGAAGCTACACAAGTGACATGTCCCTCGCCAAAAACGTCGCCACATTCACCATCCTAGCGGACGGAATCCCCATCATTTACGCCGGACAAGAGCAGCACTACAGTGGCGGCAATGACCCTTATAACCGCGAAGCAACATGGCTCTCAGGCTACAAGACTACCAGTCCTCTCTACACCCACATCGCAACATCCAACAAGATTCGCACCCACGCCATCAGCCAGGATAGCGGCTATCTCACCTACAAGGTATCTTTTCCTCTGCCACTCATCAATTCCCGTATATCTAATTTCCTCCCAGAATTACCCAATTTACCAAGACACCTCGACCATTGCCATGCGCAAAGGCTACAACGGCACCCAAACCATCACCGTCCTTTCCAACCTCGGGGCCTCAGGAAGCTCTTATACCCTTTCCCTCCCAGGAACAGGGTACACAGCTGGCCAAAGTCTCATCGAGGTCTACACCTGCACGAGTCTGACTGTCGCATCAAATGGCTCGGTACCTGTTCCTATGAAGAGCGGATTACCACGGATTCTCTATCCGCAGGACAAGCTCAACGGAACTTCATTCTGCAGTTCGTTCTCCCATCCCAACCGCAATTCCATACATCCTTCTCATTCCTGTCTATCATAGGTTCCGCGATCTCCATATTTAAGCAGTCAAGCGCACCGTTACTCATATGCTATATTGTGTAAGTACACCGCTGTGTAATATACCCACGATGCGAGTGCTAATTATCCGATTGGTTTTGTCAGGGTTCTTGCTCAGATCCTATGTCTCATGACGTGATTGGCCTCGGCCGTTCCTATCACCGTTCTCCCCCACGCCGATCGATTCGATGTGTAATGAATATCATGCGATTGGTGGGTTGGATCCATAAAGTAACCTTCACAATATGTGAAGTACAGTATACATAGAACGGCAGCATAGATAGATGGTTCAGATAAATGCAACCAGCATAACTACTCTCAACCTCAACCTTCAGGAATATGACCCACTTTAATCACATCAGTAGTACACTACTAACATAGTGGATTTCCTCCCGTCCAGAATCCATCTCAATAACAGTAGAATTGAAATGAGCATTTCCTCGCGCTGAATCCATTGCCTTATCACTCTAGAGAGAACACAGTATTATAGTACCTCGTATACTTCGTACCCTATAGCCAAAATCATCCCCACCAACCAACCAATCAACTCAACCCCCTCCAAATACCCCCCAACTGAACCCAACCAACATCCATCCCAAACTCCCCGCCCAAGAAAACCCCCCTTCCCCTTCCCCTATATTCCCATCATAAACAATAAACCCACTATCTACATACCTCTCCTACATACTCTGTAGATAGTAAAGAAAAAAAAATAATTCATTCTCTCTCCATCCATCCCTCACCTACGAACCCACCCACCCCACACCTCCTCAAGCCAAACCCAACCCCAAAGTAAAATAGATAGGTACGGAGTAGAACCTCCCGCGTCAATCCAGTTCATTTTCGCTTCGGTTCGCTTCGGTTCGGTTGATTTCGGTTCGGTTCGTAAATCCGTAACATTGGCCTCTCCAGCTAAGTTTTCGCAGACTGCCCCCTAAAACATTCCGATACTATAGTACACAGTATTGTTGCGGTGGCTCGGAGATGACGATCGTCGATCAACGTGGTGCTTGGTCTCCTGTTAGTCCTCGGAGGTATCTATCTAATCCCTGTCAATTTTTCCCCTCTCCAAGAAATGCGGAACGGTCCGAGGGGTGAAGGGGGTGGTGATGGTGGCCAAGGCACGAGACGAGCGTCGGGGGTGTTACCAGTTATGAACTGGCGGTGATTTGGTAGTGGGGAGACTAGGACGGAGTCCTGTGCAGGGCCGGTGGGTTCCTTCAGTACGGGTTGGCTGGCTGGCGACGGAAGAACACAGGCGTTCTGACTGTACGGCGTACGGAGTACTCCGTAGCAATCCACATGTGAAAATGCCCGGGGTGGTCGATACGCTAACTACGACTGGGTCTAGTAGGGACATGCTACAGAAAGGACCCGCTTACGTGATAGGGTGGCACGGACCTTTGGGTGGTTAGGTGGTTAGTGAGGTAGGCAACCTGATCGGTGGATCATGAATCATGGTCATGGATCATATTAGTCCGCCCTATATTCATTGCACGTCATCGTACTAAGTCCTGCTCATGGCCGAATGTTTGCAGTAGTCCCAGCATCCCCCCACCCACGTCTCTACAGCGTCGAGGAACGATACGCTGCTAGCCCCGTCACAGGCATCCCATTGAGCACCCCATCGGGGAACGAATTTGGCATCACTTCCGGCATCAGTTGCTCGAAGCCGTACCCCTCGATCATACCATCCATCATGGGTGGCATGTACGGTGCTTGCCCCATGCTCATCTTCCGGCTGTCGCCGTAGGAGGACAACGGAGACCCCTTGACAGTGGACGGGTCATTGCATTCGGCGCCAGCGCACCGCCGCTTGAACTCGGCAATCATGCAGGAAAACCGGTACGCGATGTGGTCTTCGTTGGGGGAGAGATGTAGCAGAAACATCTGAACCTGCTCGATGAGCGGGTCCATGAGGTTGAAATCGCAGAGATTCAGGGCTGCGTAGCCGACAATAAAGTAAATCTGGTCGACGAGGCTTAATGCGGTGGAGTAACGGATTTGGAGGAATCGCGAGATGATAAGACGGGAAGTCTGGAGGACCTCAGATGCGAGTCTGTCAGGCCTGGGTTGAAACCGCATCGCAGTGCGGTGGAGAAGTATCTGGCAGAACCAGAGACTCAACTCCAGGGTCGAATTCTCACCCGCTGCTTCTTCGTTAGTTGCATTTCGAAAAACCAGGCCGAGCGTCTTACAGAAAAGATGAGCCCACTCTGTCTTCCATCGCTCAATCTCGTCGTAATCGATGTCGGCGAGCCGCATGCGATTGCTGTTGCTCTGCAGCCGCAATGTGATCAAATACAACTGGATCTCAGCCACGACCTTCGCATCGTCCAAGGTCGCTGCTGGGTGCTCGAGTATCCGCGGGCAGTGGTCAAGATACCTCTGCTGGATGTGGAACGGGCGCGCATTCCCGACCGCAAAACTATATGTCATCAGCGGTGATCAGAACTGGATGGCTCGCCAGGACTCACTGTAGCTGCGTCAAGCAATATGTATTCCATAGTCGCAGTTGTGCAGCCGTCTCGTTGTCGACCATGACTTCCGTGGGCGCGTAATTAAGGAATTCAATGGAGATTATTGCGTGATTGATAGAGATACCACTCAGCAGCCAGCTGTCCATGGGTGGTTCTTTCTGCACGGTCGCTGGCCAGAGGCAAAGAAGTGCAAGGGCTTGAAGAGTCTCGTACTTCAGCGGTGGCTTCTCCCATAGGATATTGACCACTGCCTGCCGCACTTGAAGGTATATGGTATGCATGACCGAGCCTGGTATCCCCGGTACATATCGTGAAGCTAGCAGGCAGGCGGTATTATACAGTAAAGAGTCGGGAGCTTTCATGTCGTTGTGGATGTCGGAGAGGTTATATATGGAGACGCAGGCGCCGAAGTGGTCAACAAACCTTTTCGCGCGACGCATCAGTAGCTGTTTCGATTATTGCGGAACGTGGGTCATACATTTGCAACAGTTTGAGGGATAGTTTGGAGTCGATGGCGCTCTTGGAGACGCCATCCCCAGAGAGAGGAGATTCAACGGGAGGGCTGTCAGCTTCTCCAAAAAAGTCGGATTGGAGATCCTGGATCAGCCGAACGGGTTTGGGAAGAAAGGGAGACGATGGGCTTCCCTCCATAGAGGCCGTCTCGTCGGAAAGGATGCTTTTCGACAGGTGTGGGATGGAGCCACTGGCCAATCCCGGGGAGTGGGCCAGCATCTGTCGCATCATTCCCGTCATCTCTCTCATGCTTCTTTCAAGGGAGGTGAGGCGCTCCTCGATGGACGGAATTGCCGAGGTCGCGTCGGACCAAATCGGCGCATTGTCTTGGAAGCGATCGTTCGTTTCAGGCAGCTTGCAATCAATTCTAGAGAAATTGCGGACTGTCAGAAGAATGAAGCAATTTCATTTCGTGCCTTTTTGTCTTTCACAGGGATGCCCGAAGAGCAGAGCTTCGGCAGGCAGGTACGGATCGCCTCTGACCTTAAGGATAGACAACGGCGGCACGCATGACCGCGCGGGTCTAGATCACATCTGGTTTTAAGCTTCCGACAGGTGTGACAGGCAGTCATCGATCGTCGTATCCGACCTTTGGGACGTGCAGTATCGGAATGGGGAGCTAGTCGTCTGCCGTCGTCGGCAACGTCTAGGCCCTTGTGCTCCCATGAAGGGGCCTCATATTTGATCTCGTCAACGGTGGTTCGCGTCATGTCATCAAACAATGTCCACTGGAGCCAATTGATGGCAAATGATCTGGTGTAGAGAAATATAGAATTGCGGGAAAGGAGATACTACGTGCAGGCCATCGGGGGCGGGCAGGTGGAGAGACAGATAGCCCTTTTAACAGTTGGCGGCCAACCCTGGGAATAGGATTATGCTCGCCAGCTGGGAATTGACGAAATTGGCTTTGCTAGATTGGTTATGGGTCCGTCCAGTCCGTTCTTGACCTGGGGTAGACGCTAAGTGACGGCCGCAGGGCGACCAGCCAATCCATGTCCCTGCAGGTCTTCTAGAAAGATAGAAACACTGGGTCGCGATACTGGCCAGTCGTGCTGGAAGGGGGTGTGATTGGCATGAGCTATGATATTTTCCGAGTCTCCGATGTAAACCGGATCGTAAGTAAATCCCGCTTTTTTCCAAGGAGGGGGTTGGGTTGAAATTGACGCCGGTCGAAAGTGGGAAATTAGTTAGGAACTGCCGTTGAGGCCCGTTGATTTGCTCGGCTCGCTGCTTATCATGAAGAAGATATGGATCGGGCGGAAGTCCAGGATAAGAAGGTCAGTAAAGTCTCTCTGTATCTTTGGCTACTCAGCCTTGGGATCATGATTTCCTTTCTTTTTTTTCCCTTTTTTTATTTTTTTAATTTTTTCCCCTCCCTCTTTTTCTCCCCCCCCCCTCCTCTTATCCGTCCCGCATTGGTGGTCAGACATAAGCGCGTAGTTAAATCTTGTTCGAAATAGCTGTCGGAACGATGAGTGGAAAAAGTAGCCGCGCAAATCGAGAGACCGAAAGTCAAAGCCATCATGTAGATCGCAGAGACAAGACATCCTCCCAGATATCCCATAGGCAGATGAAAACAGGCGATTACCTTATAAGCTCCCTCGAAGGGACTTGCCAGATGAAAATTTTTTCTACGCCCAGACGGTTGCATGCTGCAATGCGACATTGATTCTGGTCCCAGCGGCTACCAACGGAAAAACCTGTTGGAGTTTTGACAAGGATATAGGGTAGTATTATCGCATCCATGTCTAGGCCCGAAGCCAACAAAGCATATTCTATGCAGGTCCAGCGTTTGTGGTGCCAGTGAGCCCGAGTTTGTTCCACCGCAGCAGCCCGTGGGGGATCCTCAGGACTGATTCGAGCCATCAGGATCATGGCGGAGCTCCAACCTGGTCCACTCCATCCCTGAATGTCCGTGACTCCGTATAATGGTTTTTGATCATACCGTCTTTTCTCCTTATCACATCATTTCTTATCATAAGTTCACAATTCGGGACGAAGGAGGCGAAAATGATCCAACATTGGCTGGTCGTCCTATAATCGACAGGCACCCGCGTTAAGGTGAGCAGTGGTGGATCCAGCACCCGGTGGAGCCTGGGATGTCTGACCAAGGCTTGTCCTCGGGTGTGGATGCTGCCTAGGGTCCCTTGGGATGCAGACACCACCCATACATCGGGGCAAGACAGTTAACCCTCAATAGTCAGACCCCGTCCAGGGAAAGACAGCGAGTGCAGTATATGCAAGACAAGCCGAGCTTCAGAAATCTCCATGTGCCAATGGTTGCCGCTCTTGAATTATGATGAGGCAGAGTTCAGGGCACAATATTACTCCGCTGGTTTTTAAGCATTGCTAGCAGCCGACACCCTGGACCTCGGCTTCATTGGCCGTTAGGCCCTTTTGGGAATGGGGCGCATCGGCTCGCAGCGCCGGCTCCAAAGTCAAGGCGCAACTTGGTCCGCCACTGCCAATACCGTTTCTCTCTCCTGCTCCAGGATTCGATTTTCCAGGCCCCAGCGGAAGAAAGGGCGGGTGAGATGGGAAAGTAAAACTGGCTAACCAAGTAACCAACACTGCGCTTTGGCGGTGGATGGTGCCATTGCTTTTTTTTTCCTTCGCTTTTCTCGGATGGTCCAGTAGGAAAGTTTGATGAGGGTAACCATCGGGTGGTCGACGAGGCTAGCCGGTCCCCACTGGCCTGATAGAATGGTTGCATCGGAAGTCGGTGGCACATGTCTCACATGCTATCGTGAAATGATGTGTCAATGTTTTAACGTTATTAACCTTGAGTGAGCTCGACTCGAGCAACCAACGATATGAGGCAATTACTCCGTACTCCGTACCGCTTTGTTCCCATTGTTGGAAGGTATTTCAGTCGGATATCTCCGAATTGGCAGGTCGTGGAAGCCAGTCTCCCGTGCTTATCGAAGCTGTACCTGCAGGTAACTTAACTCAGCCTAATAAGAGAATAATGAATTGTCTGCCGTCTCTCTCCTGGATCTCGGAAGACCGAAGGGGGAACGCCGAGTATATCCTTGCTCACCTCAGAAGCTAAGCTCCAGCTAACCTCCCTGGGTTAAAGCGTCCATGGCTATTGTCGGCTGAGGGTAATATCGGCTGACATTCGGTTTATTCGAGACTCGTCATCGGAAGACGTAGGCTGTCAAGCATTCAGGGGGGTCCACGGGCAGGCCACCGACCTTGCAGGCATGATAGGCGTGATAGGAAACAGGGAGGGAGAAGACATTGTAGGCATGTGTTCACGAAGATGCCGAGGAGCAGAGAAGATCTAGATAGGTAGAGGAAGAAGCGACGACTCAGCAAGGTGCCGGGGGGGCACCTGATCGCCGGTCACGCCTTCACTGTTTGTCTGCTTTGCTCCCGCCGCCATTTGGTGGCGTGTTCTTTGCAGTCGATCTCCCATCCTTCGCATTCTTCCATACCAAGATGATCTCTCATCTCATCAAAAGCTTCTACCCAGACAGCAGACTGTGCCCACCTTTATATGCCATGCCAATGCTACGGCCCCTCCGCCGGCCACTTCCAAGAAGTGCTCCATAACCAGTCTGGAATTTAGGCACGTTGTAACCATTATTTAGCCAGTCAGCTCCACGAGCGGCAATCGTCGGCACTGCGGAAAGAGACGGCATTGAGCCCGGAGTCCTGCCCCGACTCCGGAGCTGAACTTGCATAGGGGGTTACAATTATTCATCCTCCAACATGCTCCCTCCCTCCATCCCTACCAACGCACCCCCAGCCGAATTCGCCTTCAAACATCTGCCATCACGGTATCTGCACTCGAGATGTGGGGGAAGTGGATAACCGGGTACTCGGGACTGGCTCCACGAGTTCAGATCGACGTTGCCGCGAATCTCGCCCATCTGCGCTTGTCAAGTCAGGCATAGCAGTCGGACTCTTCGATAGCCAAGCTTTGCTTAGCCTTCTCATAGGCGTGCGTGCAGAAGAATGCCGATAATCGGTGGGCCTGTGGAGGACTAGCCGTACACCATCTTGTGCGAACCGGAATCAAGCCGATAGCCCAGTGGGCTTCTAGCCAGTTCGAGAAGGTCCACAGTGGCAGACACGTCCAGCCGTTGCAACAACGTCGGACTACCGACTTGATACCGACTCAGGTGGCCCCAGCAGCCGGGAGCGCAGGTTGCCTGCAGAATCGCTTCCCCGTGCCAGGATTCATTGGTCCATGGCGGGAGATTAGCCTAGATCCTAGCCGTTCCCTTGTCGAAGATGAAGTGGCTCTGACCAGGTGGACTTGATGCGCGATTGGCCGGCCTGAGATTATGCGGTTTACATGAGAGACACGCATGGCCACTCATATTTCTAGCACTGAGGATGGGCTGATCAAGGCCCCGGGCCATCCTGGCGGTTGGCAATCATGAATATGCCGTTGGCTCTGAAGAGTAGCCCAGACGGAGCCCTGCATATATCTCTGACCACTTACATGCCTAGGATAGCAGACATGTCATTGACCCTATCACCTGGTGACGTCTCGGATGGGTGGCGTCAAACAAGCACTGGCCATAGTGCTATTGACCCTGATTTGTTCTTCTGCTGTCAAATATGCATGTAGCAGATGACGTACAGTTGACAGCAACGTTCGAATCCGCCAGGACCTGTCAGACTCGGCAGATATTGCTATAGTCAGCGATGCTGCTGACGATCAGCCAGTGGTGGTAAAAGGTACTTGGCGTGTGAATTTCCGTTTCTCGATCCAAGGGCCTTGAAGGCAATTTGGGACTACATTCAATTAATAACATTCTATTGGTACTCCAAGCAACATATAATTTTATCTTTCCCATAGCATCTAACCCAGCACCAATTCCCTTGATTCTGCAACCCTCGATATAATACAAAAAAGAACTTGTCTTCATATAATCAGACTCTTTGTTCATAATCCTCTCAATGATACTAGCCAGTTATTCCTTACACTCTATTCCATATCCAAAATGATCCAATGAGCCTACCACTCCATCTATCCACCTCAAGTGAACATACTCCCTTAGTGCTCAACATGACACCCAAAGTATACATTGTACAGACATGGTCTAGGCACGGCGTTATATCGCCTCTCCTCATGTCTACCGTCACTAGATTTATCAATTTCATCCCAACTTGATCAAGAATATATCTCCAACAAGACAATCGGGTACACACCACTACCGGGCATTGAGCTTCCAGTCCATGTCAATCCCATCAAGCCCATGATCAACATCTTTACTCACTATTTACGCCATCTCCTCCCATATTCATCTACTCACCAAGAAAAGCTCAACCCAACCCAACAACCCCGTTCACATAGAGAACTCTACCTACCTACCTACCATCAACTCAAATTCAGCACGAATCACACACACACCCTCCCTCCCTCTCACACATACCAAACAAGGAGTACCTCCAACCAAATACTACCCAACAACACTACAAAGCACTCAAATACTTCCATCGGTTTAACAAATACATTAACACACACCAAACAACATGCCCAAAACAAATTCACCTATATCTATACCAAGATATTGAAGCCATCACATCACGGACTCTATCATTCCTCTTACCCAATATGCGGAATATACATACATGAATATATCTACACCTACTCTGGACTTGATACACTGGAGTGAAATGGGAAGTGTATTTATCTGTCTTACCCTTATCCTCTCTCATCGCTTTCCATCTACGTAACCTAAACCAGTTAGACACGGTCTCTCTCTCCTTTGATCTCCATAACCTCACCATCTAGACACGGCTAGCTAATCAGCTACTTAGTTACTTAATTCCTTAGACTAGATCGCTCCCTACCTACCCAACTGACTAGAACCCCCCCCCTTTTTTTTTACCAAATAAGGAACATCTATCCACCCTATAAGATCCCCCCAACACCCCATCTCAGAAGAAATGTATAATCCAACTAGTCAAAGCAGGGATGAATCATTCAACACCTACTAACTTTCATACCTACACATATCTACATTCGTAGATACATACATACATACATACCCAACCCCATCCCCACATACACATAGTTATATAGGGTACCATACTTCCTTAGCACCCTGTCTCACCCGAACTTTTCCTTCCCCCCCCCGCCCCTCCCCATGGTTATTGGGACAACAGCAACCCATCCATCCATCCATCTATACAACGGGATTAATAACACGTATCTTGATTCCCATTAAGGGTCAGGATATACGAGTATAGAATTGCCAGCGAAGAACGCATGCACGCGACAACAAAAACATAAACAAATACAAATACAAAATACAAAATACAGAAAATAGAAAATCAATAAGGGAAGAGGAGAAAAGAGGGTGCAGTGCTCATACGATCATGGAGAAAGGTATGTATAGAATACAATGCGGAGCAAAAACGCACAGAGCATCAGTATCCACCCACCATCCATGGTAGCCATGCATTCCATACCAGGCGGGCATAGGTAGGCGTAGGGCTAAGGTTGAAGTTCAGATATGTTGGGCTTGGGTCAGACAAACAAGAAAATGCAATATGGATATGTTGTCCTACGTTGTCGGTGGAAGTCACCCCTCCATTAGGTACATTACATACATACATACAGATAGACAGACAGACAGGGTGCAGATAGTTGGCTTGCAGCACACCTCAGACATATATCCATGGATATATGTTTCTTGGCAGGGTAGGAAGGTAGGTAGGTATACGTACGCGCAGATAAGTGCATATCCAACACAGACAGGCAGACATACGACACCCCCCCCCGACCGACCGGATAAAGACCCAACCAACGGAGTGGATGTACTTGAGATCCCGGAATCCCGGATTGCATTTGGGTAGGAAGGAAGGATTAAGCCACCCTGCTTGACTGACGTACATATAAGAGGAGGTTGTAGCTCCCAGGGTGGGACGTGCAGGACTGCCAGCTGGAAGGTGGTGGTGGATGGAAGTCATCGGTGATTAGTTCCGTTCAAAGTGCGAGGTCAAAGAACATGGAGGGAGGGAGGAGAAGGCCTGTCAGACCGTCAGGCAATGCAATTCAGGTGCCTAAATGCTTAGCTATTTCTGAGAGATCATTCGTCAAGGAGACAATCCCAGTGGTGCAGATGGGAGGACCGAGCGGGCGCAACTGGCTCTGACTTCTCTCTGGTGACTCGGACTGGATCGGGCAGGGCTCCAGGATTGTAACATGTCGCAAGCCCGGGTTGGTTGGGAGAATCAAGGATGGGCGTGCATTAGTCCATGTCCACCTATATTTCGTACAGCGTCCCATGTACCCGGTTGGCCAGATGATGACCTCCCCGAAAATGCCCCTTTGGGGGGGGGGGGGGGGGAGTATGTGGCTGGAGTGTGGCGAGGCAATTCTCTAGGCATCGAGGTATCGATAAATGCAGTTTGCAGTCTTGAGATCGCGACGAGTCCCTTACCGACTTCCCACCTTGCAGCGTGGAGTTAATATTCCACGGCCAGGGATGGGCGGGTTGATCGGCAGCAACCTGGCGGGGATGTTCGGTGATTATATCGTCTAGAAGTCACCGGAACCAACAATAATATCCAGCAGAATGCACTAATTATTGACCTTCCCCCCCCGTCGATCCCCTCCTCACCCCAGGAAGGGAGATCTGCCGCACCACAGTGGGGTGCAGCAGGCTGGTTTCCAGGTTTTCCCTGTCTCGATGGGGAATTCTTCGTGACGGCCTGGCAATCGGCCGGTCGCATGTACAGGTACAAGGGGTTGATAGGCTGGCCGACCCCTTCTGATCGGGGTTCAGGGCTAGGACCGGTGTCATGCAATACCACTTCGTATTTCTTCATGCCCATCTGCATCCATCAACCGTTGAGCTGTCGTGTCAAGGCACGCCCTGACTCGATCGGCGTTTCTGTCAAGGCTCAGACTGGTGTCCATGTAGCATCCCACACACACTCTCTCTCTCCTCCAGTAGAATGCCGTCCATTCTTGAAATCCGAGCGCGCCCCCCCTCCCCCTCGCTTCTAAAAGGTGACATCCCGAGTGCCTGGGATCCCCATGCGCGGCAGCCAGATTCACCGCCATGTGATAGATCGGATAGATCCCGGTTTCTAAATCGCTTCGCCGTCGCCATTCTCGCGTCTCCCTCGCCTCTTCTCCCCCCCGTGCTTCGTGCAGCTGGAAGTCAAGCCCTGTGCCACATTCAACGAGCCTGATCGTCTGTCCATGGGTCCCGAACCATGTTCCGTCCGTCTGCTCATTTGTCGTTGGCCTGCATGGGGGGTCCCGCGCGTTGGCGACCGTTGAGAAGAGGGGCCCAAGGGGGCCCCAGCCTCGAATGTCTTCATGCATCGTGATGTTGTGGCTCATGGGATCTTGAGGATAAACGGGCCCGCTCGGTAGGTAGGATGCCCGCACAGACGTCCCCAAGATGACCTCCTCGGGTGACTCCAGCATACCCGCGGTCGCCCTAACCGCAAGAGCTGGCCGAATGGCAAAAAGCGCTCGCGCCGTCGAGGCGTCCGAACCCTCGAGGACTTCTGGTCTTGGGCCATCCACGAGGCGTCCGCTGGTCGGTAACTGGCACTTGGCGATCTAGCCGTCCCGACTGGCCGGAACCAAAATTTAGGGCCTCGTAACCTTCTCATGACGTGTGACAGCACGCCTCCCGCCTGTCCTTTCCGGCGCTCACCGCAAGGCTAGGGGCTGTGAGTGGCTTTTCCCGGTGGAGTGATTCCCTGTTGCATGCGTCTCACAATGCCTTTCCATCCATGGATCATCTGGAACAGAAATGCGAGGCCGGTTCCATGGTTGCTTTACCGCTCACCAGGGCACTATCTGGGAATGACTTTGCTGGCTCCCATTCCTCTCGAGATCGCCTCTTCGGCGGCGGTGGACCTGACAAACCCTGCACCAATGACTCCCCGTCAAGCCACAGTGCAGCCTTGGGTAAGAGTATCTGACGAATGCCAGCCATGCACGGTACCGGCCGGATGTGAGATAAGGGATCCTCCCCCAGCCCAACCATGGTCGGTCTTATAAGGAGGATCGTGGAATGGATGAAAGAGGTAAAAGCAGAGGAAAAGGAGTTGTCCCAAAAGAGCCGATCCGGGCAGTAGTAACCAACGTTCTCATTTTTGTCTAATTCCAGAACCTGAGATGACCTCCCAAAAAGTAAGCAAAATGTGAAAAAGTAAAAAAGTGTAAAAGGAAAGACAGTCTAACTTGACATGGTCACATCATCCGTACTTGTACTGTACAAAGGTCATGTATATGCTTGATCCTCATCTCCGATTGAAACCCATCGCAACCCAGTTGAAAAATGTAAGCGCACCAAAAAAGGAAACACGTTAATCTAGTATAAAAAAAGAGACAGCACAAAGGAAATAAGATAGCCGATAAATGTCCAAAAACACCTTAATATGCAACATCGCAGTGGGCAGTCGTGGTCGGGACAGCTCCTCGGCCATTGACCCCGTGCAGGGTGAAGCCATGCAAAATGATTAAGTTCGATTAGATAAACGGTAAAGGGTATCAAGAGCGGTTGTCCATCTCACTCGGCTCGTCGTAGAATTCCTTGATGATCAAAATGAAAGATTAGAGATGGGTGTTGGTGGTGAACTCTCGTGTCTATTCGGTTCGCGGTGTTCCAGGCCCATAACTCATGAAGTGACGAAGATATCTCGCGGTAGCGGCCGCAAGTCGAAGCTGGCCTTCGATTGAGCGCAACAATGCTCGCAAACGATTATGCTTTAGCGAGCTGGTGGGGAGATGGCATCGATTCGGGGGACGTCTGGTCCATATCACTGAAGGGAGACTGCCGCTGCGAATCAATGTCGTTTCCGCCGTTTCGCATCTGGTTGCGGAGAGCGGGAAGTTGACGTCTTCTGGCATTGATAAACCAGTTGCTGATCTGTCATGCGTGGGATAGCTGATTAGCAAACGCTGGGTCACAAGTGGCGCGCGGAATTGAACTAACCTGGCTGATGGTGAGCCCGGTGCGGGTCATGAACATCTGCTTGTCTTCTTCACTGGGATAGGGATGGTCCAGATGCTCATGGAACCAAGCACGCAGTATGTCCGTAACGGGCTTAGGCAGGTTGCCCCGTCTCCGCTTGTTCTTGGGGTCGATCGAATCACCAAGGATACCAAAATTTGATTGCTGAGCATGCGAAAGGGACTGCGGGGAAGCTTGTTCCGAATCACTCTGATACGCCATCGCGGGATAAGAATACGCGTTCTGGCCGGACAAGACTGGTCCATTGTTCCCCAAGAAAGAATCCACGCTCCTCCGATCACCGGGTACTGTGCCTGGAATGCTGGCCGGGGGGAACCCGTGGGGGCCAATGGGTCCAGCCCTGAATTCCTGCGCCGCAAAGTCGGGTCGCGAAAGAGCCCTGGATTCCGGGAAACCAGCGCCCGTAGTGTTGAGGGCCCGTTCAGGAAGCGACTGAAGATCCCGAATTGACGGCAGAATAGGACTCGGCCCACGAGAAGCGTAGCGAGGGGAGCCTGTGATGGGGTCGGTCGGGCTTCCGGCCATACGACCTTGAGGTTCGCTGGCCCGGGCGGCTGCGACAGAATAATCGCTACCGAATGGCAGTTTCGATGGTGATCCGTAGGTCGGACGGTCCGAGAAAGGGCGGGGATTGGACGTCAGTTCATGAGCTGCTGATGTAGGCCGCTCGCGCGCATGTTGGCGGGAGGTGAAGTATGAAGTCGATTCTATTTCGTCATGAAGATGGGGCGGAAGTAGCTATGAAGGCAGAGATCAGCTTCCAGTTTCTTTTTTTTCGGTGACACAGACAGTCGGTTCTCGGGCGCGGAGATATGTGCTCACCTCTCGAAAGGACGGAAGAGCTGGAGTATGATCCGCTGGAAGTCCACTTGCGTATGAAATGGCCATTTTTCCAGAATCCTCACCCAGTTCACGGTACTGGGACATAGACAATCACTGCCAAAGAGGGGGAAGAACTTCGGGGAAGGTGACTATCCACTACGACGGTAGGCAGGATAGAGGACCAGGGCAGAGATGCTTTGATTGCACAAGTATAGCCGGCCTGCGGCTTCCACACGAACCAAGAGACGGGCTGAAGGAAAACCCACACGTCAGACCACTTGGGCTGTCAGGAGGGTAGTTAAATTGATGAGGGTGGGTGGTAGGATTAAATGGCGGGGAGGAGGATGAAGTGGATATCAAGAGATGGAGAAGGGAAAAGAAGGACGGAGGAAGGAAGCGTTCGCTAGGTAAGAGTCGAGGAAGGGCACAGAGCGTAGATAATGTATCTGAATGAAGATAGTGAGGAGGGAACATGGGCGACAGATAATAGTAATATACTTACCAGCGCCTGAGTTTAAAAGTACCTTGACATTGCCGCACACGATGACGATGGAGACAGCTGAACCAAGGTTATGCAAGGTAAGGAGTGAGGCAGCTCAACAATTGGATCTGGGCTGGGTGGACACCAGATCTCTCTTTCAAGGTTGTCGGGGTTCAGTCCTTTCTTTTTTTTTTTTTTTTCTTTTTTCCTTTTTTTCCCCTCTAAATTCCTTTTTCTTTTTTCGGATACCCTCCATATTTTTTTTAATATATCTTATTTTTTCCTATTTTCTTATTTTCTTTTTGAATATTCGTTTTAGGATTTTCATCATTTTCCTTATTTTTTAATCTTTTCCCCTCCACTAACCCTTTCCCTTTCCTGGGAGACAATAACATGCATGTCCAACTCCGAGATTCTGCAAGACAACTTGTACATTAAACGATGGCATTCGCGTTTATGAGGGAAAAGACGAAATAAAAAAAAAAGAAAGAAAGAAAGAAAAGAATTAATAAAACCCTCCCCATTTGTCTACGTAGAAGGCACAAGATCTCTGGAACCCGACCCTCAGACACACGCGCACATTGGCAGCGCCGTCAGCTGTCCCATACTTAGCAGGCAAGCCACCCATGGAAAAGGGCAAGAACAGGGGGGAAACCCAAGAAAACCGACGATCGTGGGTGGGAGTGGATACAGTAGCCACAAACTACAGACGACCGTCATTTGCTCCGGCGGTATCCAGAAGGCATGCAAAGAGAGGGGGATGGAAAGACGGAGGAGGGGGTTTTCCCTGGGAGACCATGAAGTGGAAAAGTCTGTAGAAATGGGCATGATAAAATTATAATCCGCACACTGAATCGTTTAGTCCGCTTATGTGATAATTTCCCCTGCCATTCTTTCTCCTCCTTCTCTGTTGAATCTACATTATTCGCTCTTAAGGTTGTCCTGACAGATGGTGCCAAGGGCCCGGGATCTGGAGGGATGACCCCAACTCGGGCGCAGGGAGGCAGAGGGAAAACAGAGAGGGGGGAAAAAGTAAAATAAATAATAAAAATAAATGCATAAAATATAAATGTAAATTCACGGTGCGATTATCTCAGTGGCGCTACAGAGAAAAAAGAACAGTTCACTGGGCACCCGAGTATTCCTCCTGTCTGCTTGCCCGCTGCCATCTGGAAATCCTATCCGGGCGGACTCCGTCTGTTCCTATGCATGTACAATGCATGTATGTCCTCCATGTCTGTCTGTCTGTCTGTCTAGATGAAAGTCACTAGGTAGGTACGTAGGCTGGATACCTGGATGGCAATAGCAGCCCTCTACTGCGGCGCTAAATTGCCAAATGCCTCGTGAGGACCGACAAGCGAAGATTGCTGGCTCCCGGATGATGGCGACCACCTTGTTGTCCTGTGTTTTATCTATCGTGCACGGGAAAATCCCCCCGGGTTGTGCATTCTCTTCTCCATTCCTTTCGAACTCTTTTTCTCATTGATTTTATTTCTGTGTCTTATTTTGCTTTTTGAGGAGTTCATCCCAATTCCCCTGCCTAGGATGACTCCGGTCCCCGGAAAACAAACCAGAGCCGTTTCGTGATCTTGGGGGAGATCATATGCCGGGGGCTGGTTGTTGATGGTCTCGTCGGCTAGACTAGCACCAGCGCCAGCGGCCAGGGCAAAACGAAGCTGAAACTAGGACTCCCTTCCTACCGAGTATCGATATGCGCGCCCCCCTCTCATACAAGTTCGTAACAAGTAAACTTCCAGAAACCAACTAGGCGGCCTAGCCTGTTTGTCACCCGATTTCCTGTCTTTTCTTTTTTTTATAGGGATTCCGTTGAAACACGGGTTCGTTGCCTCTCCGGGGAAGGTCGAGTGCTCCTGTCCTCGAACCTAGGTTCCCAGGCGGTTGATCCCTCCGGCGCCAGGCACTCGTTCGAGATACTAGGCATAAGAATAGTATCTCGCCATGCCTTGCGGTGAAGGATGCTAGTGTGGTAGTATTTTTAAGGTACGGAGTAAACTTTGGTCTTACGGTGGCGAGAAACTGCTGCTCGGCTTTTGCCCTCTGAGGAGGTCGTACAGGCGTCTCACTTAATTACTGCTGTCTCTGCTTAATTAAGTGCCGTATAAGGTGGGGGTGGTACAAGACCGAGCCCACCGTGCTTGAGTCCAAGCTACGGAAAAAGCTTCCTGCAGGCATATCGTCAGGTAAGCCGGGCTTTAACAGCCCTGCTATTAATCGGCCATTCCTACGTTGCACAGGGTAGTAGTAAGGACACCTCCTCTCCTGTCGGCCACATCCCCGGCTAGCACCACTAACTGGCCAACCAACCGGCACCAACGCAGTCCGCACTGCATGGGAGGGAGCTAAGGAGGAGCAAGGAAGCAAACCCTCTCGCTCAGGAACGGTCCGGAGCAGGCATGGATGCAAGTCTAGCCAAAAGCGATCTTAGTGAGGATGCAGAAGAGGGGCGGGGGCTTGGGGATTCATTTTTCAGCTGCGGCTTTCCAAGCCAATCACGGCCGGCAAACGAGGGAAAATGCACGAAAACATAACAGAAAAAGCAAAAGAGGGCGAGGGCAAAAAAAAAAAAGTAAAAAAGAAAACAAAAACCATATAAGATCGCCGAGTAGGCTCCACCACGGTGTCAGAAAGGGCGCGTCGAGCCACTGCCGACCAAACAGAGAACTTCCCCCGGGCATCACAAGTCATAGCTTATCCCAGAACAGGATGCACCTACTAGGTTGAAGAGGGCTAGGAAGAACAGCCACCGAATACAGCAAAATACAGCCAACCAGAAGGGTGTCTATGCAGGTCTTCCCGGTCCTCGAGTTTTTTTGACTTGCCTTGCAGAGATATATAAACTGTGACGGCTATGGCGTCTCTCCCGCTGCAAGGTAATTAAACAGGGCGACATCCGATCGACCGGTTGGAGAGTCTCATCACGATCGATCAGACAGACCGACCCCGATGACAGAGGCTCCTAGTCTGCTAGAGAGTCAGCAGGAGGATCAAACAGCGGGGAAATGAGCTAAGTGACAGAAGAATCAGAGGCTAATCCCGGTTGGAGCACGTCGTAGGGGCACCAGTAGAGTGACTTGGAGAAGGGTGACAAGCAAAAGTGTTCCAACTTCCGGGACAGGGAAGGGCTGATCGCCGAGCAGTTCTTCTTCATGGGCCCGACCCCACTTGCTTTCCAGAGGGGCTGCATTCTGTGGTCAGAAGATCCGCGCCCGGCCTGTCTTCGCTCTCCCCAATTCCATCCCCGTACGTTGTAACGGCGGCCATTATTAGCATCGTCGTCCCGATAATCCTACCGTTTCTGAAAATTGGGGTAAATACCGAACCGCCTGGCTGGAGTCAAATGACGGAGAATAGAACCACCTGCCTCGATTCGAGACATCACTGGCCAACAGCCGGCACAACCCTACCGTGTTTGAGGGAGAGCCTCATGTTCGTTACAGTCACTTACACCTTTACCGTGGACCCCCTCCTCCAATAGCCCCCCCCCCCTCCTCTACCCCTTGGTAGCGGCGTGGTCAAACCCAACCTGACCCAGGTAACATGACTAAAGTCGGTCGCAGCGAATGCTGTCCAGACGAAGGCGGGCTAGCCATGATTGGTCGCAACCCACCTTATAATATGCAAGATCCATTGCCCGTGCATATGACATCTCAGGTTGTCGGCTAGGAGGTGGGTATTGGGAATTGACATGCCGCGATTAGAGGCAAGAGTTCACTCCAGATTAATCAGGATTCATTACAAGGGTTGACTGTCGTCAGTCGCGACACCGCAAGGCCCGTCGCAAAAAAAAATTCAATGACTCGGTTTAATTAGGATCGGAGAGTCGGATGCTGGACCAGGTGCGCCTCTGCGAACGAATGATATGCATGACAGTTATTGCGATAAAGTGGGATTAATTAGTCGCAAATTGTCTGGATCCTCCCCCCTTTCTGGCGGACAGAGCCTGCCCACGAGGAGGTGCCGTTCCAAAGTTCGGGAGAGCTCTGGGATCAGAGCCTGAGCCACCTGGGATCCCGACGAAAAGTTAAAGGTCCAGTTTCAGGGATGACAACCACATGAGGGCGAGAAAGGTGACAGGAACAGGTCTGCATCCATGGTTGACGGATTAATAGTTCTGACAATGAGAGACCACCACATGATAATAGTGTGAGGGGGGAGCCAGATGCAGTGGGTCCAACATGAACATTGGTTGGAGATGGAATCCTGCCACGGACAGGGCAAGGATGGCAGAGCTGAAAAATGGAGGGCCCGAGGGAGGGAGTGACAGTGTGGACGGGGCGCCCTCCTCCTTTTGCTGAGGAGTGTCGTGGATGGACTGGGCGTGCCCAGTCACGAGCCCATGACGTCCCCCCACCGTGGGCCGATCGGAAAAGCGTCCATCGAAGCGACCCGACTGATTGGTTCTTCCCCTGGCACCGGAGAATCACCGCCGTGTCCAATGACAAATGACAACTGACAGAGAGTCACGGGCCAAGCCGCGGGAGGGTGCACGACAAGGCCTCTGTACCAGAGACAGTCGCATTATTATTATCTTATTCTTATTATCATATTGCCATTATATCATCATGGTATGGGGTCCTATGTGCAGGTTCCATGGGATGAGGGCGACCGATCTGGACTGCCCCTGATAGGGCAATGGCTCGCCTCTCGTCCGAGAAAACGTGTAGATGACGACGGAGTAGTGCATAGTAGACTGCACACAGGCCTGGTGCACTACTGTCTACCCAATCTTAGTGCCAAAGTCCTGGCCAGGGTTGTTTTGTGCCATCTGTCCTCGACTCCTCGGAGGTTCAGATTTTCAGATCAACCCCGGAGTCCACTAAGCTTCTGGTTAATGCTCGTAATAAGATGGACACCCATAAACGGTCTGCTCCTCCTCGTCCCTAGTGCAGCTGCAGCATCCCGAGACGTTACTGTCCTGATGTCAGAAATTGGGGCCTTCCAATCAATTACGATCAACACGTCCAAACTTGATGCTGATGGCTAGGTTAGCCCAGGGCTAAGGCAACTTTAATGGGGGCTGAGATCGGAGGTTCGGCATATGCCCGATTCCCAAGCTGAACCACCATCCATAAGCCCTAAGCCGGGAACATTGAA